CAATGTATGATATCTGTAGGGATCAAGACATGCTCAGACCTGGACATGGCTCTATGGTGATGGTGTTGTCGCAAGAAAGCAGTGTGGGTGCACATCCTTTTTGGTATGCATGGGTATTGGGCGCGTTTTGTATTAATGTTCTTCATGTTGGCCCAAACACTGGTAACCACTCACCTCAGTCCATAGAGGTCTTGTGGGTGCAATGGTTAGGTGTCGTACCATGGTACCATTGGGGCTTCCAAGAAGGCCACCTCCCAAAAATTGGATTCATTCCTGACTCACCTGCTGCCTTCGGGTTTCTTGATCCATCGCTAGTGATCAGGGCATGCCACCTTATCCCTGCTTTCACTGACCATTGCACGTATGAGCTTCTCAAACATGGTCCCTCTGTGGCAAGACTACCTAGAGAGATTGACGACTGGGCTTCATTTTATGTCAATATGTGAGATTTTGTCTTGCTATATACTCATATCCTTACCATAACTTCGTGTAGTTTTGCTGACAGACATGTTTTGTCATTTCACAGGCATAGGTGTTAGTCATGAAGTTCAATATGACTCATTGAATATTGTCCAGCCCAATTGTGCAGTAGGGAGCAGAAGTACCAGCATTGGTCATGGAGAAGTCTTGGATGATGATGGCCTTGAAGCCGACATGGAGGGGCTTGACAACGCTAATGTTAACCTCGGAGATGAAAGTTGGCATGAAGATGAATGTGATAGAGACCTGGATGATGAACACAATGATTTCAACCAGGACGACTCCGCAGACGAAGATGAAGATGAATTGATTCCTGAAGATTGCGACAGTGATGTTGATGACTTGGATGATGATGGCAACCACTTGGACTCTGAGGATGATGGACCTGCATTCAAATTTTAATGATTATTATCCTTCCTCCTACTGTCCATTTATTTGCTAGTACATAGGCACCCAAAATCAGAATGTTATGTTTGAACGCTGAGCCTATGAAGCATCCTACTAGTAAGTAAGCACTGCCAAGCCACATTTAACTCAAACTCAACACCCCTCCCAACTTCTGCAAGCACCTTTCCATTCAACCGCACCCAACCGTAAGCGCACCATTTGGTTTGGAAATGCCTAGCGTTTCCACATTCTACTAACAGTTGGATGGGCTCAAATCCCACACTCCTTAGCTGCTCAACAATTGATTTTGTTGTCTGGTGCTAGTTAACATGATTGAATTCGGCTATAAGTCATTGTATGACATTATATCTCCTAAGCCCCATGATGGACTTAGGCAGACGGCACTACATCCTAGAACATATCTGTATCTATCATATAATGGATATAGCTCGCGATAATTTGTGTGTGGACACTACAATCATGATCATTGTTGCTAGTAAGATATAAACTTTGTGCAGTTTTATGCTTACCTGATATTGCATATCTAATGAGACTATCCAATGAGCAGGAAATGATACTGTGAAACCGTTTAGACTAAGAATGGTAAAAATCTAAGCATCTGTGTATCATTTGATACACCTTTATGATGGCATATCAAGTGTCGCATCAAGGCAAAAATTATCAAGGGGTGATAATAGTGGAACTCAGAGTAGATTTTTTAAACTCACTAAAACATAACTAAGACTCGGTAAACTTTGAAAAAACTCGGCCATAGATGGCCGGCACAGATTGGAGTTCAAAACAATACTTGTGCATTTCTGAGAGATAATGGAAGATATTGGGGGTAGTGCGCATGATAGAGAACGTAGATATATGTAGATATACGTAGCTATGTTGAAGTAATTAGTCTGTCAGCCTCCAAACAACGAACGAGCACCGGGACCCATCCCACAATTGCACGAGTGAACAAGTGTCATGAGGAGAGGGGAAGGGAGCAGAGCCAAACACCGCAACTGTGGTATGTTAGCATCTGGGGCTTCCGCGGGAGAAGGAAGGTATTTTTTTCCATGGGAGGGGGAGAAGGGGAAGCCGTGTATGGCTGCTTCTGTCCCTAGGGGGACTGTCAAGGCTGATGACACAATGACAGGAGGGGTCAAGCTCCATCCCATTGTCATTGTCCATGTCAACATCCCCCCCACTCAACATACCAAGCGCGTTGCCAAGGGGGGCAAAAAAGGACCGTTGTCATCGGCATGGGGGTCGTTGTCGATGTCCCCATCTGGATCATTGATTGGACTGCCCCCAGTGCCAGAAAATGAGGAGGGGGGTGCTGGGAAGGGGGGGATGCAGAGTGCTTGGAGGAGCGCGCTGAGCGCTAGTGTCAGGTGGGCTCCAGAGAGGGAGCTGAGGGTCTGGGGGAAGCGGCTGATGGTTTTGGGGAGGGAGCTGAGGACCAGGTAGATTCATGGAGGGACCAGCCCCCCCACATGGACGAACAAGCGCAGAGAAATCTGCAGCGCCATCAGGAGGTATAGGATGATGAAGATGCAGGGAAAGATCTGGAAGTACATGGAAATCTGCAGTGCCATCAGAACGTATAGGATGATGAAGAAGCAGGGAAAGAGCTGGGCCATCAGGAGGTATAGGATGATAAAAAAGCAGGGAAAGATCTGGGAGGGGCATCCTCATATCTGGAGTTGTTGAGGGCAATGGGCAGCACAGTGGGGATGGTAGGTTGCTCGCTGTCATGCAAGATGAGCTAGACTTAGCACGCTGACCGTGGTAAAATTTCAAACTCCGATTCAAACTCCACTTATCATCGCACATCAGTTAGGGGGGATGATAAGGCAATCATCTCTCAATCTTGAGCTCTCACCATGCCTCACCCATCCACCAGGCAAGATCTTCTTGGCACAGTTGATAAAGCTGCACTGTCATTAGCCAAAATCCAATATCAGCAGGTGTTGGAAGCTCAGGAGTCAAACTCTGACTCCAGCTCCAATTCCGACTCTGATTCCAACTCTGATTCTACCATGGACATCACCTCCTCACTCACCCTTTCCTCCAATAGCACTAGTGAATTTTCTGATGAGTCCAATGACTCTGATGATATCACTACACATTATAATCATCTTCAGCACCAAATTGCGATGCTCTGTGATGAGGTCGCAAGGGCTCACGTCCTTAACAAGCCAGATGAACCTCCCCCACGAGCTCCCCAGCTGCACATGCTTGTTCATCACGATAAACACCGCCCTTATTTATTTTGCCAGAAGCTACGTGTCGACCCTATCATTTTTGACGATATCCTCGATCAAATCTCTGATCATCACATATTTTTCAACCAATCCAATAATCCCCAGCTTCCCATTTCCATCCAGCTTGCTATCTTCCTTAATCATGCTGGCCACTATGGCAATGTGATTTATCTCGAGGATGTTGCCCAATGGGCAGGTATAAGTGTTGGGTCAGTTGTGAATTGCACGAATCGTGTGATGATTGCACTGCTTGACCAGCATGATAATTTTGTTGGTTTCCCACACCATCATTCAGAGGATGCTGAGCTTGCTTGGCAATATGCAGAGTCCAAGACTTGTCCTGAGTGGCGCAATGGCATTCTAGCTGTTGATGGCACCACAATTAATCTCTATGCCAAACCTGCTCATTTTGGTGAGACATTATATGACAGGAAATCTAACTATTCCCTTGGCTGTCAGGTATTTCCCCCCCCTCCCCTCATGGTCAACAATTAAATATTTTTAGGCAGCTGTTATGCCTCATAACCTTATCATTGTTGATTATGCTCTTGGTCATCCTGGAAGCATCACAATGCCTATGCTTTCCGATCAACTCATCTCTATCAACAGCACGAAGCCCTTTTGCCAGATGACCATTGGATTTGGGCTGACAGTGCATACCCACTTGAGAAGTGGTGCATAGTCCCTTTCAAGAAGCCCCGTAATGGAAGGTTGACTAAGGACCAGAAGACATTTAATTATCATCTTTCCATAGTGTGCTCATATTTTTTGTGATTTTTTGTGATGGTTTGGTGACTGATTTTTATTTTTATTAGGTTCATGTACGTGTTGAGCATGCATTTGCTGCTCTTAAGGGGCGGTTTCAATCCCTCTGAGAGCTTCGCCTCAATATTCACACAGAAAGAGAGCTTCAGATTGCTGTTCATTGGATTATGTGTTGCATCATCTTGCACAACATGATCATTCGATTTGAAGCACACCATTGCCAGCAGAATGTGAAATTCCCTTGTTCTCAGAGGTGGGCTGAAAGGGAGGCCAGAGAATTTGCAGCTCAAGAGATGGAAGATCCTGATGGAGATGAAGGTGTGGGTGATAGGTCATATAAGGGTACTCTGGGGCAAGCTTCACATTTGAGGATGATGGATCAATTGTTTGACAGTCCTCACTCAAGAGCTCAACACAGGGAAGGGTAGCTTGAAAGGACCAGAATCATATTGGCAACCATAAGGTACATGTACTACTACAAGAGATTAACAGATGTAACAACAGATGTATGTAAAAAAACAATCAAGCAGCTAAAGTTAACATGACAACAACAATGAAAAAAAATGCTGAAAATCACAACACATATTCAGACTGATGGTGACGAGGATGAGGGACTGGCACCTGCTGGAATGGATCATCATCTCATATTGGATCTTAAGGTGCCAGGTCTCAGCCTCCCTTTCCTGGAGGGCAGCTGCAGCCTGAAGGCGCAGGATCTCCTTGTCCTTGGCCTCCTGCTCGTGTTGATGCGTGGTGGCCGAAATGAGGACTTTGTGTGAAAGATTTTCACAGTGCCACTGAAGATCCTTCTTCTGGGCTTGATAATTCATCTTGATGGCATAGTGCTCATTCCTCGACTCCCAGCACTCGGAGATGTCAGTCTGCATGCTCCAGATATCTTTGTTGAGCATGTTGAGGTTGTCCTCCATGTCCGCTGCAGAGGCTCGCTTCTTCTTCAAGTTGGCCGAGCTCTGCGGCTTCCCAGACAGTGATGTCTGGGATGCCGTTGGTGAAACACGATAGTTGGTTGATACAAAGGACGAAGATGCTGTGGACGAGGGAGTGGAACGGCTGTGCGATATCCCCAATGACGATGCAAACAAGGAAGGTTTACATGGCACCTGGCCACCAGGGGAGGCAGAGCCAAACACCTCGCGACTGTGGTATGTTGGCGTCTGGGGCTTCTGTGGGAGAAGGAAGGTGTTTTTTTCCATGGGAGGGGGAGAAGGGGAAGCCGTGTATGGCCGCTTCTGTCCCACCAACCTGGGGGGACTATCAAGGCTGATGACATGATGACAGGAGGAGTCAAGCTCCATCCCATTGTCATCGTCCATGTCAACGTCCCCCCCACCCAACATACCCAGCGTGTTGCCAAGGGGGGCAAAAAAAGGATCGTTGTCGTCGGCATGGGGGTCGTTGTTGAGGTCCCCATCTGGATCGTCGATTGGACTGCCCTCAGTGCCAGGAAAATGAGGAGGGGGATGCTGTGAAGGGGGGGGATGCAGAGTACTTGGAGGGGTATGCTGAGCGCCCATGGGACTGGGCTGAATGCTTGGAGGAGTGCTCTGAGCGCTAGTGTCAGGTGGGCTCCAGAGAGGGAGCTGAGGGTCTGGGGGAAGCAGCTGGGGGTCTGGGGGAGGGGGCTGAGGGTTTTTAGGATGGAGCTGAGGGAGCTGAGGGTCTGGTTGAGGGAGCTGAGGACCAGGTAGATTCGTGGAGGGACCAGCCCCCCCATGTGGACGAATGAGTGAGTAGTAATCTGTGGCATGGTCGACTCCCAGCCGGGAGGTGAAAATCTTCACGCTGATTGTTGGATTGGAGAAGAGGAATGGGTGGAGCTGGTCATACCAAGGGAATTCAAGTAATACTTGTTCTTTAAATCAAATAAATCAAACAAATATAAAAACAATGACAAAAAGCTCACTGTGAAGATTGACGGCCACATGTTCGTCAAGCGGGGTGATGCCAGCACCAGTCTTGTTGAACTTATTGTGGCAATCCCTAAACAACTTCCTAAGACTTTAAATATTTAAATTAGTGGCAACAAATCTGAATAAAGGAGGCCACTTACACAGTGCAGCAGGTTGCTCACTGACGTCAATTTTTTCGGGTCCTCAGCATATAATGCTGAATATTCGGAGTCCTTCTCGAAGATCAGCTTTGACAAAATTCGATGAATGTCCCCTTTGTCCCTGCCAGAGGGATGCTCCTCAGTGCTAGAACTGGCAGTCTTTTTCCCCTTGTAGAAAAGAGTGCATGCGTCGGAAGGATTAGTGGTAAGGTGGGTCACGAGAGTGTCTGTGCGGTGGAGATCTTGGGCCCTAGTCCAATGGACGATTATCTTTGGTCCGGCAGCCTTAGGAGGCTGATTACGAGTGGGATTGGACCCACATCCTCGAGATTTCCCTCTTCCACAGGATGTAGATGGATTTGGGGGCAACTCCATCGCCTTTGGGCGAGTACGACCATTTGCTTGAAGCCTTGCAGAACGGCGGACACATTGGCGGACAGCAGGCATGGTTATTTAGGACTCCGACTTCATGCTGGCCAACTCTTCATTGTTGGCTGTGCTAGAGTGCTTAGCCGGTGTTTTACTGAGTGCTCTAGCGAGTTTAGAACTCTACTCTGATTCCCACTAATATTACACGTGCTTGATATACTGTTATATTCCATTGTACTATGTTACCATGACCAAACAAAATTGGTTAAAATTATAATTCCCGCTACCATTGTCATGCATGGTATGTGATTCATACCATGTCAGATATATATAGAGTGATAAGGAAGATATGAGAGAGTGTCTAGCCCTCTGTCACTGAGTTACTTCTCCATTTTTCCTTTGATTTATTGTCTTGTATTTTATTTCTCACTTTTCAGACTTATTTTTAACTTGTATTTGCATCAAGCATGTGACCTTCTGTTTATTTCTCATTGTTTATTGTTATTTGGCTTCTTTCAGCCACCAAGTTTTGTATCTCTATTTATTTCTGACTGTTTATTTTTATTTGGCTTCTTTCAGCCACCAGATTTTATTTGTCATCACATCATGTGACTGGGAAATAATCTGGTTTGTAACATTATTTAAGCTGACTCAACATGTTTAGTCATGATTGGTCATGCTTTGTAACAACATTTAACATGACTCAACATGTTCACTCATGGTTTGTCATGGTTTGTAATTTCTTTGTAAGATTACACTGTATTTGTAATGTACTTAGTAATAAGCTGATTCATCACCTGGTTTGTAAGCCACATTCTTACCAATCCATCTGATTAATCATGCTTAGTAAGGGGGTCCCCAAAAGGTATAAAAGGACCCCATTTTCACCCATGAAATACAATCCTCCCACTTGACTCTTATCTCAAACCGTGTGAGACCACTAAGACTTAAAGTGCAGGCCAACATAAGTGCCTTGAGGTAATCTAAGATATCATTATCTACTCTAAGTTGTATACTACCTTACAGGGGTTGACTATATAACTTTCGTTATCATTATTCTACTTTAGGTTATATACTACCTTACAGGGGTTGACTATATAACCATTGAACAGCTCTCATTCTAAGCTTTACGTGTATTCATAAGACTCACTCTTTCAACGGAAAGTGAGACACATCTAAGGACGACAAAGTTGAAACAGACTTTCATAGGTTGAAACACAACCTACTAGGCTGAAACAAACCTAACAAATTTATCCAGAACACAGAACATTCCACAACAACTTCATATAAGACTACACAAGAAGAGGACAACAAACTAAATCCTCCCAAGAACTCACCATGTTACCTCCCACGAAGTAGAAAAGTCGGAGACCGTGGACTTAAGGACTGGCAAGAAGTCTTCACCGTGTATAATTGTGTTGTCATTATACACAACTTTCATATAAGACCCTTAAGTAACAAGACACCGTTAGGGAGTGGGTCTTGTCAGTTTTGATTTTCACGTTTTGGCGGTAAATTTGTCCATTCCTGGCAACCCTATCTTTTTCGCTTGATATAGTAATGGGCTGTGCTCATCGATCAATCACAGACCTAGCCTCTTCCTGTTCGTTATCTCATATTCTCTTCAAACTCCCGAATCATCAATGTCGTTTCTCGGCTGCTTGCCCGTATCTGTTGTTTTCAACCTGGAATCGCGTTGTTGTCTTGTTTCTGCTTCGATTGCATGCTCGCTCAGTCATTCGGGTGTGGGCTCAGTTTTTTCCGAAGTTCTCATGGCATCCTATGAAGGTTGCTCGCTCACCACCAATGCCGAGTTTGTGGTCACGTGTGCTCTTGATTCTGATGTGGTTGTTGGGATGAATTGGATCGCTGCCTGGCGCCATGTTGGACTTGAAGACGTGATTTCTGACCCAGAATCTAGCTCCTGTACTTATTTACAAGGTGATGAAATTTTGATTTTGAAGTCTACTACGTTGACTTTTGTTTTAAGAATCTCAGTGTATGGTTGCGACTCGCACCAATTATATTGCGCCTGTTGATATGGTGTCCAATTCATGTCAGTCTTCGTCCTTCGCCGGGGCGGTTTCATCGTCTCGTAGATGTTCAGAGTTGATAATTCGTGACATATTTTTGGGGTCGTATCGTGCTGGTATTCGCATTAGTCCTTTTTCTGTTGAAGTCACGTTGCTTTCTGATGCATGCGCCTTGCATGGTTTAGATCTTACGAACTTTCATACACTGGCTGAGCTGCGCGATCTGTTGTTGCGACATTTCCTTAATGGAGAGTGTGTGGTTCCAGCTGCCCATTTACGGCACGGTGATTATACTGCTTGTCATGAAATTGCTGCAGGATTTGGTGGGCCTTCAGATATGGTTGACTGTATTCTTGGCGCATTGACAGAGACGCATGCATCTGCAATATCAGGTGATCATCTTTGGATTGTCGCTCGGAGTATTTGCAGTGATTTGGACCATGTACGTGTGCCACTAGAACATCATAGGCGAAAAGCTATTTGCATATTGAATTCCTTTCATAACCGTTTGGTCTATGAGGCTGTTTCTAAGTCTTTGCTGTCACTGTTTGCTGAGGTTGAACGCATGTCTAAGTCCTCATTGGAGGCCATAGCGTCTTGGCATGGTTTGTGCTATGTGGGTACGAAAGATCAGTTGCTCAATAGGATTTTTGATCACACTTCCAAGGGAACATGTGTGTTGAATGCACAGGATCATTGATTGGCATGTTCTCATATTGTTGATGAGTGCTCCGTTGATAGTGGAGGACAATGTGATGTCAGCACTGATGTTGCCATGGATGGCAATGGTGATTCAAGCTCGCAGATGATGGATGTGCAGATCAATCTTTTAAGCTCATTGAGAAAAACCATTGCACGCAAGCCATTGCTGTGTTTATTGTGTTGCCATAAAGTGGATCATGATGGCAGTGACAGTCTTTCACAGCTGAGAAAATGTCTGAAATCATACATTGGTGTCCTCCAGAAAGGGAAATGAGTGCAAGCTTTTCATGTTCGTAAACAGAATCAGTATGTTGCGATGGAGATGGAAAAGACTCGATGTACTTCAGAATGGCCTCGTATGGTGTCTGAGGAGCGGAAAAAGCGCGTGATTGAGATTTTTCATGAACAAACTTGTTCTGAAGCGCTAGCTACCTTTGTTTGTTTTGCTTGTGCTGCTGAGTATAATTGCAAAGAGAGGCAAGAGCTGTCTTTTGATGATTTCGATGTTACTCTTCTAAATCGCCCTGATGTGCGCCTGCATAAAGGGCGTGTTGTTGATGAGGGTTATATCAATAAAGCCTCGGTGGACTCGACTATTGGTGCAGGAGTTCCTTGACAATGTGATGTATGAATGCCGAGGCTTGGTGTTTGATTCTATGCAGTCTGACCGTCCTATTGGTGTACATTGCTGTAAGGGATGCACTTCATTGTTGAAAAAAAGTAAGTCTCCTGCATTGGCTGTGGCAAACCATAATTTCATCAGCCCTCTCCCTCTTGAGTTGCAGGACCTTAGTGTTGCAGAAGAGATGATGATTGCGCTGTGCAGAGCCAAATGTTTTATTCTACATTTGCGAGAGGAGTCGTGCAATATACCGAATGCTCAAAGAGGCTTGAAAGGCAATGTGATCATTTTCCCGCAACGTCCTTCGAAAGTGTTGGAGACACTTCCTCCATCGATTGAAGATGTATTAACACCGATATGGGTTTTATTTGTTGGTTCATCTCCACCAACTACCAATTGGTTGCGCAAGCATGCTAAACCGTTGATCGTGCATAAAGAGAAAGTCCAGTCAGCATTAGTGTGGTTGTGTGAACATAACGTACTCTATAGCGACATGCTCATCGATCATGACTGTTTGGATTTGATGAGTGAGGAAGATATTTTGCCAGTTCATATTGAAACTGTGCCTGAGGATGATGCACGCGCCGAAGATGCATTGACCTCACTGATATGATGGCGATCATAATTGCGATGCAAATTCATTGTTTGACAAAGAACCTATTTTTAGTGACAAGGTTGCAGACTCAAGTACAGCATCATCCGCTGAGGATGTCTTTCAACATGTCGTTGTCACTGATGTGGATGGCAATGCTCCAGGTCATGAATTGCATGCAGCTGCACTTCGCCATGTGAAAGAACAGTGTGGTGGTTTTATACAAGTCCCGCATGGGCTGAATCCTATGAACGAATATGTTAATCCTGAGTTACTCCCAAAGGTTTATCCCACTCTGTTTCCAGTATGGAGTTGGGGGGTTTGAGCATCCTCATCGTACAAGTCCAGTATCGTTTAAAAGCCATGTGAAGCTTCTCTTTAGTCTGGCTGATAGGTGTTTCCAGGAGCATTACTCCTTTTTGTTTATTGTGTTTAACATTTTGCAACGTAGAAAATCGCTCTTACATACCAGTTTAAAATTCAAACGGACTTCATTTGGTACAGTGTCACAAAGTTTTGTGTCTGTGTCATCAGCAGCGGTTCATACGGTTGCTGAACGAGTTGTGAAGGGTGATTTTGTTACAGCTTATACTCCAGAAGAACAAAAAGTGTGCCGATTATTGAAGGAAGTGAACAGTGTGACATCACATGTCCCGGGATCTGGTTCTGCACGTGCTGTGATGCGTAGTCAAATCAGAGGCTTAATGTTTGACAAAGGCTTGCCGAATTTTTACATCACAATCAATCCTGCAGATGTATACAATCCTATTGTCAAGTTTTTGGCAGGCGGTGAAATTGACGTCAATGATATGTTGCCTGACGATGTGCCTGACTTTTGGCAACAATCTATTTTGGTTGCTCGCAATCCTGTAGTGGCTGCAAGGTTGTTTGATCTGTACATGAAGTCGTTCTTGAGCGCTATCTTGGGTTACAATAAAGTGAGTGGTGTCCTGTTTCAGCATATCAACGTGAAACTCCGTCAGCTTGATATCAGAAATGTGGAGAATGAATTGATCCCACCTCAGGACTGGTACATGAGCCTTAAGTGTGGAACCCTGGTCATGATCAGGGCGACCCTCCACGCCTTCAATTAGGAAAGAACGTCGAGTAAGTCCAGCTACACATTACACAACAAATAAATCAGCTGAACTAAATAATGACTAGGTATATCAGCTAAACAGGACACACCATTCGTGTATTAGATGCCTTGAAATTGGAGATGGAACCGTTGAGCTTGCAACCTAATGGATTTGATAATAGTGGAAGCTCGTCGACCTCCAATTTGTGGGTGTCGGACGCTGATGGCAAGTGTGCAACTAGGAAAAAGGGGAAGACAAGAATGAGGAACGAGAAAGCTGAGATGTGGTCCGAACCAAACAGCGAGCAATAACGGTTCTCAAAGTCGAACATAGAAAAAAATTCACAGCAAGATTTTGTGTTGCCGGTATGGCATGTTCAAACTCCGCCCTGCCCTGTCACTCGACATCGTCATTACTGGCATCGACAGTGCCAAAGATTCAATCTGATCATCAATCATTGTCATAATAAATGCCCTGAATCATGTCACACTCTGGACAGAGAGGTCAAGGTGGTGGAATTCGAGCCGGTGTGTCCGCCAGTATGGACACTGGGAAGAAATGCACTATCCATTGGGAGGGGGTTCGTAGCGCTCGTATGGAACGTCTCCTTGCCTGGTGCAAGGAAAATGAAGACGCACGCATCAAGCTGTTCTCCGATTCCGCAAAGGATGCAAAGGAGCAAGGTTGGAAGAAGAAACAGAGCGGAACTTCGAGAGATACCTTTTATTCACAGGTCGCACAAGCCGTATTTTCGAATGATGAGAATCCGGAGGTCCAACGACTTTTCAAGGAGGACCCAAAGGCATTTATCAAGCCAGTTTCAACTCGTTTCGGCACGTATGTATCCCGTTCCTGCATTGTCCCTCCTCCCACTAGAATCACTGATCAGATGTTTTAGGCTCAAGAAAAAATATAACGAGTTCAACAAGGAGCTCAAGCAGTCAGGAGCCGGAAAGACGTATGCAGAGCTGCAAGAGGATCCAACGATGAAGTCGTTGATTGGTAAGTTTTAGCCGCTGTTGAACTGCACATGTCTTAATCATATCTCTGTTAGATACAAAGCTCGAAAAATTTCCCTGGTGGCCTGAGCTTCATGGCTGGTGGCGCACAAACCCAGCTTTCAATTACGCCTTCTCTACTGGCGGATACAGGGCAAGATTTTGCGTCCACTGCATTAGAACATTTCGCTATCTCAAAGCAACCACAAGCACCGGCCGCAGGCGACAATGACACTCACACAGATGAGGATGCTGAGGACGGAGAAATAGTTGAGATCAGCGCTCATACTACAGGTGATGCTGGCATTATAGATGCGCCAGATGATATGATGGTTGACCAGCCCCCCTCCATGGAGTCATTCAAATCACCATTGTCAGCACCATCCCCACTGTTATTTTCGGACCATGGTCCTAGCGACATGCCCAACTCATTCTCACTCGCTCCATTACCACACTGGTACCAACGACCCCAACCTCCTCCCATCACAACTTCCAACACACACGGCATGATATTGCTGAACTCTCCTGAGCGCTCACCAGTACCCAATCAAAGCACCACCCACAATTCACCTTTCTTTTCTGATCTCAAGGAGTCATCAGCTAGCCCTCAATCCACACCCAATGACTCGGAAGATTCGGACATTGGTGCTAGCTGAGCGCTGCAGTCTCTTCGTGTCAGCTCACTCAAAGGAAGTCGCGCAAGTTCACCCTCTCTTTCTACAAAGCAGTCTCGTGCACGTGCACCTACTCAGAGTGCTTCACCTCAATCTAGTCGCCCCCCCTCTTCATCATGCAAATGCCCTGGTGGCAGCACTCTCGATCAGACCTCTGCTGCTGCAGATAGGATGTCTCAGACGGCAGATTCCCTAATGACGCACCTTAACAGCAAACGTGAGGATCATGTGGAGCACAAATGCTATAAACGCATGAAACTTGAGACCGAAATTTGGGCTCGTGATCTCAAGGCCCGCAGTGCTCGTGATGAGCGGGAGCATGCGATGCATCTATCTGACCAAGATCATCAGCAGGATGACTCAACAGATGGAATTTGCAAGAATTGAGATTGAGCTATCTCGTGCATGTCGGGAGGAGGAGGAGGCTCGAATTCATCGTATTGCTTTGGAGCGCAGTCTTGATCAAAACTAAGTAGGTTTGCACTATGTTGTCATGTAACAGGTTTTCAGGAAATGCATTCCATGTTGTACTCGATGGTGCCAACTCAGAGAGCTCACTAAAATGCTCCTTTCTCGAGCAAATCTCAAGCACAACTGACCCCTCCTAGAGCTCACCAAAATGCTCCTTTCTTGAGAAAATCTCAAGCACAACTGACCCCTCCTAGAGCTCACCAAAATGCTCCTTTCTCGAGAAAATCTCAAGCGCTACTGACCCCTCCTAGAGCTCACTAAAACACTCCTTTCTCGAGAAAATCTCAAGCATGACCTTGTGAGCCAAAAGGAATATGTATAGGTACAACTACATTTAATATAATACTAACTACCTTTGCTCCAACAACGAAAGCAATCGCATCTTTAACGTGTTACAAAAATCCTGCCCAACAGTTCCAATGTAAGTCTGATCACCTACTGCACCACCCTGTTGCTGATCATCCTCTCCTCCATCACCGTCAGCTCGCCTCAATCTCCGAGTTTGCTGATAGAAGCATATGTTTGAGTCTTCGTGGTTTTCTATTTCCTCAATTTCAACAATTAAGTTGTGCAGAATGAAGCACGAATGGATTTACATGTTCGCATAGTCGAGGTCCTTCTGGCTTTGGATTGGGATGCGAAGCTCCCGCAGTGATTGGAACCGGCCCTTGATAGAGCCGAAGAAGTGCTCTGAACGAACGCGGACCTAGACACTGAGTGAGGACAACAAAAGTATATTAGTACTGATGCTCACTGTTGACAGGTTATAATTGAATGTCCTTTGCTCGGCCGTCAAAGACCCTCCCGCTGGCCGTTTGTACGGCAGCACACACCAAATTCATGCAGCATACGCCGAGTCCGCCCACAACCACTCTCCCGCACCAAAAAACGACTCAGGATGCCAGGAGACCCTCGTTCGTGCAAATATGTTCAAGTCGTGAAGACTCCCAGGTACGCCAATGACGTAGTCAACGATACGCAGATTATGAGGGAATATGACAACCTTTTGGATTGTAAGTCGCTGCGCTGCACACTGAGCCGATAGTAGATACTTACCTGGGCTGTTAGAGAGTAGTCAGAGTTCTTGTCAAAGAACCCTTCGCCGTGCCAACCAGGCTTCTCGTGTAGAGGGGACGGAGTCCCATCTACACAAAGGAAACCGCCGCGCCACTCACAACATGTCTTCTGCTCCACATACGCTTTTGCCCGCTCTCGCTCAATCTGGTCCTCACGATCGAGTGGATCAAAATGTATGGCGCGATCATGCAGTTGCAAGATCGCGATCATGACTCGCTTGTAGCAGTTGTAGATGGTCCCTACGGACACTCCAGCCCAATCGGATATGTCTTCGGTAGTCACAGCATTGCCATAATGGCCGACACCATTGAGAAAGATTGCAAGCTGGACAGCAACAGGAAGTTGTGGATTATTCGAGTTATTATGGAAAATGGGGTGGGCTTGGATTAATGTCGTGAGTTTGTTGAATACCTCTGCATCAACACGAAGCTTGCGGCGAAACTTTTCAGGTGAGAGCAGTGCCCATTCTTGCAGCAGGTGTAACTGCGGTGCGCAAGTCAGAGATGGATGCACATCAAGTACCCGACACTTCTCCACTTCATCATGCAGTGCCCCAATCGCATAAATAAAGTGCGTAAACACTTGATTGCACATGTCCGGGATATCGAGTGATAGGACATCAGAATACGCTGTTGAAAGCGAGGTTACTAGAGAGCTGATGGACAACGTGGATATGATGGATGACGTCAGGGACTCTGGCCATGTTGGCGATGCGGTCCGTATGCTGACATCTGACCCACTATCACCATCCAATCCCTTATCAGAGCTATTGTCAGAGCCCTCCTCGAGGAGCTGATCCACCATAAATTCAATCAACTCCATGTATTGCGCGACCGTAAGGTCATTTGTCGTTTGCTTCAGACTACGAAGTAGTTTTTTGCGATCCGATTCTCGAGGCATCTTCCGATGTCGTTGCAGAATGTTATCAATATGATGGTCACAGTAAGGTACGATGATGATGGGCAGTGGTAAGATATGAGCTTGATTTGTCATCGTTGGAGTTCTAATTATCGGCAAGTCGCAAATTTCTTACCTCTTGAAATTTCTACTGATTTTAACTTTGAGGACCGCTAATGTACGATACAATATCGAGTAGTGTAAGTCTGATGCAATGTCAAAGATAAAGTTGAGACAAAGAAAGCCAAATCTAAATAAACACACATCCAAATATTGGGACTTAATGAGATTACGACAAACCAAAGCCAGTCAGTGTGGCGTTGGAAAAGAAATACTGATGCCTCGCCAATCTTCACACCCAGTGAGAAACGGTCGTAGCCATATCTCCGGAAAACTGACAGAAATATTGTGACAATATTCACGTCAATTTTCGGAGAAAAATGAGACTTATAGTCGATTTTTAGTGACTCGCATTGAGCGAGATATTGTATCATCGATTGTGTTTGTGTACCATAGATTCTAGTATATTCCCATAGCTCCCAATTGACTTGTGCATATTTGCTCATCAACGCAAATCAACCAAAAATAATTGTATTATGAAAAATTACAAATACAATACTCTATATACCATAGCACCCCCACCCGCGCATCAGGATGACGTAGTCCACTAGCTTCTGGCACATGGGAGTCCTTGACCTGAAACAAATCATTGTCAGAGTATACTTGCCAGGCAAGTAGACAGTACTTACAATGATGGCAGCTGCCTCATTCTACAGCAATAGATATCAGTTAAAGTACATTAGGTAGCTTTTAATGGAACTCACCAATTGACTGTCTTGTAACAGTGTATCTGTTGAAGCCGCTGGATGTGTCGATCATCAGGACAATGGTATTGAGCTAGCGATGATGTAAAACAGTCAGTGAATGAACCTGACAATGCCAAATAACTCACAATGTTCAAAATATGTGCATATATGCACCGTGAATAGCGCTGTAATACTTGTCACAAGAATGGCTGACAGTCGAGTGGGTGGGATCAGCAAATGGATTGAGCCATGAAAAAGCCTAATACTTATCTTGTTAGTGGCCATGAGAAAGTTATGTGTCAGATGATGCCAGGATGGTTGAGGTCAACGGCAAGGTTTTGCTGAGAGGAAGACGAGATGATGGAGGGGAAGAAGAAAGCTGAGATGAAGCGAGTAGGGATGGAATGTCCCAATATTGGTCCACTGCATATGACTCATTGACGTCATTGCGTGAAGTGATGGTGCGTGCACAGCTGATGCGCAAGAATGTTCAAACGTTGAAATATTGAGCAAAGTCAAGTCAAAGTTGAAAGAATTTCAACATGTTCAACATTTACTGAGTGCATTGTCAAATGTGTATTTGAAACCCATTTGATAATTGATCGAGCGTTGTTGACATATTGTTTACATTTATCGATTTGCGTAGTTATTACAATATTCCTGGCATATATTTTATATCATCATCGTTTGCCGTAGATATCGCTAGGACCGATTTTCACTGGGCTTCACATCCCACACCGAGACTGTTTGGTCGCACAAATTCGAAACGACGCGACCTCCATCTGGAGAAAATGCAACGGACATAAGACGTCCACTGTGGCCTTCGGACGGAGTATGAAAAGACTTGACGGCAAACGTATGACTAATACACCTCGGCAAGTCAGGGCAGCGGGCTTTGCCACTTTAGCTGGCGCTACGTACTACTTATTTAATTATTGTCATACCGAGCTAAGTGAATTTCAGTGATGGTCTCGCAGGGACAAAATAGTACACGCCGATGAAATCCTGCGAGTAACTAGTTGAGCTATTTGGCTACTGGTTGGCAGGCACCACTACAATCAGTCGGAACGATCGAAGTTTCTGCAAGGGCATCGTCAGTGTAGATGGTGGAATGAGCAACCTGAGATTCACCATCAGAGAACCTGTGAGAAGAAGATATCGTCATATATCGTTATATATCGGAATATATAGGAAAGGTTTTCGTCACATTGTAATATAAAGTGATATAAAGCAATATATGACCATGTAAAAGCACCATAATCAGCATAATCCCCAGCAAGAACTCACCGGTTTACTGATGCACTGGTACCGGAGGACTCTAGTGCTTGTGTGGATAACGATACAAGGACTCTCAAGTCGTGACGGTGTACATGGCATAGGGCAGGAGGCAGCCGCGGCCGAATATGCCTCTGTTGGTAGAAGAACTGCGGATGAAATGGTGATAGGCCACCCGAGTGACCCAAACGGGAGCGGAGGAGGACATACGAGAGTTCCAGGAGTTTACAGTGAGTGTATAGATACCGCAAGGTGTACGGTACTGGAGATGATGCATGAGATCTGAGATGTCAACGCTGACAAAAGTGTGAGAGTAGGCGTGAAGGCGGACCCCGGGCCAATGACGAGCTGAATTAAATTACTTGCATTCTACCAGCCTGCAGCGTGATGCATTGATGGAAAATACTAGTAGTGCTAGGCCATTAACCTATTACCATAACATCAAGATCGTATCTACTACTACCACAGCTGCATCGAGCAGATGTCTCGAGTGCTTGCGCCATCAAAATTATCAAAAAAGCCAACCATCGGACGAAAAAAAAAACGAGCGAAAGAGCGACTACAAAAAAGCCAAAAACAGCAGATAAATTAAAGCGAACGGTCACTGATACCCCAACGTCAGTCAAAAGTATCTTCCTACCGGGGGTGGTAATGGGGGCGGGAACACATCTCCGTCCTCATCCAGAGCCTGGCCATTTTCGACCAGGTACATCGTACGCCTACCAGCCGTCTTCTCATCTGAGGGATAGATCGATGCCTCATCCTCGTCCTCGTCGTCAGCTTGTGTGCCCTTGGGATCTTTCCCCCCCTCTTCGTCATATGTGCTCGAACGCTCATTGTAGACGCTGGCACTGATGTCGCTCCGGGTATCGAGTATGGACGAATGTGAGTGTGAGTAAGCGATGCTGTCCGTGATTTGCTTCCCGTAGCCAGACTCTGACCGCGAGGAAGATCGTGTATCTGAACGCATGTTTACGACGCCTTCTGAGTGATGACTCGAGCTGCCGTGACTGTCAGAAGTAGATACCGACGGGGCGTTGGAGGAGCGAACAGACGGGCCAGATGAGGAGCCAGACCCACTCGTACTGCGCAGAGCAGGCGAAGTATGACTTACTGACGACACGGACGAAAAGTGTTCATGGAATTTCGAGGGGAACGCTGGAGGATGCATAGGGCGTGCATTCGGAACTTGTGGGAGAGGTGAATCTGGGGGTGGATGCCGCGGGGATCCCTGCATGCCATGCATGCGCCGTTGAAGAAATGGAGGTGGTGATATCTCTGAATGCTTTCTCCGTACCGTACCGCCATGTCCGGGAGGATGGGTCTTAGAGCTGTCATCACTGGGAATAACGCTGTGGCTCTGGTACCTCCTCGGTGATGCCTCACCATTGTCATGCTTGTATTGCGGGACAACCGAGTCAGATGCACTATGTGACGGCTGTGGGCGAGGCGAAAATAGAATGCGGGGCTGAGTTTGTGGATGCCGACGAGGAACTAATGGAGCTGTAGAGCCAGATACCACTGCAACCGGTCGGAAAGGTGGCAGTTTCCGCGAGGGCGTCGTCGGCGTAGATGGTGGCACGGGAAGTGGACGCACTGGAACCGGAGGCAGTGCTTGCATAAGTGGTGGTCCAGGAGCCCTTTGTGACGGCGTGGATGGCATGGGAATTGGAGGTGGCTGTGGCAATGGCTGCGTAGGTGGAGGAGCCGCGGGTCGAATAGTGATATGCCGGGGAGAGGTGATCGGGGATGAACGAATGGGGGTTGCAGGAGCCTGGGAGATAGTAGGTGATACCACAATAAGGGGCGTACTGGGAGTTGGTGCGTGAGATATCGGCGTGGATGGAAGAGCGGGAGCAGGCGTAGACGAAGGCACAGGCGAAGGCGAAGGCGACGGCATCGAATTTACTGTCTGCTCGGATGGTCGAGGAGGAGTGGGAGTGGGGGATGGTGTTGCTACTCGAGCAAGTGGGGGACTAGCGCGGTCTTTTCTTGAGTGTAAGACAGGACTTGACGCTCGAGTTGAGGTGTTAAAGTTCAGCTTCAGAGGAGTGAAGCCAGATCGTGAAGGGGATGAAGGTGTTGCGACAAGATGCTTCAAAGGTCTTGGACTCGAAGGAACGGCCATTGGAGGCATCGCAGGGACTGGTGGTATGTAGTTATCATCTTCTTCATCGCTGGCTCGCTGCTTCTTTGGCTTCCTCCGAAAGAAGGCCATTGCGCGAGATTTACCCTTACTTGACTTCCCTTGCGACTTGCTTGATGACGCAGAGAGATAACCTCCATCCGAAGAATAGCCGGGCGCTTCATCAAAACCGGAACGCAAGTCCAAGGCTGGCGGCTTTCCTTTCTTGCCTTTTCCTTTCAGTTTGCCAGACTTTTTGAGACCAGCACTGTCAGAAAGATATTGACCGTCGCTCACATACCCCGCTTCAGACTTTGCGGAATTCGGTGTGGCACATTTGCGGTCGGTCTGACGTGTGATATCCTCACTTGATTGGTGTCCCACATTATTTGACGGCTTCCCAGACGAATTGGACATGCTTCCGAGCCTCTCCCTCTCATTGACTGGCGTACTCAGCGGAGGCAATGATAGCGTCAGCTGCGCGGAAGCAAAGTCATTGAAGTGCACGTGGAGAGGTTCGAATACGCTCGGCTTGTGCATGTGTATTTGCCTTGCGGATGCAACGTTGTTTTGCGGGGAGGACGTCATTGACGACTCGTCGCTCGCAGTATGCGAGCCAAAAGTGAGGGCAGTCAAAATCTGCGCGAGTGAACGCAGCAATGATGAAGTGAGCAAAAGAACTTGATTGAGCGTTCAGCCATATCTGAGATGGTGACGACGTACTTCTTCTACCTCCGTGTCAGGAGGGATATCCTCCAGTTCCTCTGCCTCCTCAGGCAAGGGGCTATTGAATATCCAATTCGCGACGGTGGAATTGTGAATCCCAAGCTCAAGGGCAGTCTCGAAAACTGACGCGCGAACGACACTAGAATCTGGTCTTACTCCGGACGGCCTGAGCTTCGTGGGACGTCTGCGGACTTGGGGGATTGTGTGTGACATGTTAATGTAAAAGAGAGTTCGAAGTAAATGAATAGGACGGCCGCTGCGTCAAGGCGAAAAGGAGTAAAGATCACTGGGTTCCTGCAGTGAGTTCAAAATCTAGCCTTTGAACCAGACAAAGGCCATGCGTTGTTTGCCTGTCAACGCAACAAAAGATGAAACTTGAGTGGATGTGAGCAGAGTTTGAATGCGGTAAGCAGCAGGAGAAAAGCGGTACCTGGGATATGATGTGCTTGCAACAATCAAATTTACCAGCCAATATAGTGAAGGTGAATGAACTGACTTCAGTTGCAACGAGCTCAAGTCAACGACTTGTCAACAACCGAAATTCTCGATAAACGTCGAGCACGAAAGAAAAACACGAAGCTGAGCAACCGAAACCGCGATTTCTTGAAGGTCAATTGATTTCCTTTTAGGGACAATTGCATTTGAGACTTTCAAATTCCATTCATTGTGAAAGTATCAGGTCACATGACGTCGAATGATGTTCAACAGGACCCATGATAACTAGGGCTCTCCTCCCTAGCTTCGAATCTCTACCTTTCTCAGTTTCAAATAATCGATAAACAAGCTTTATAGCAACACTAGGGAAAGTGGAGGTTGAGTGGGACTGCAGGGTAACGTGATTAACCCGCAGATGCCGGGAATATTATGAAAAACGCGACGCGAGCATCGACCCTGCAAAAACAATCACCGTTTCTAAGGACCAGCTGACAGTGGATTAATATTTAATGCTGCACCACTGCAGCTTGCTGCAGTCAATTGGATGCAGCTTCGATTTCTTCCGAGTGACTACTAGTAGACGCTTGGTTTGAAGATGCGTGAACGCGTTTGCTTGATGATACACTTTTGACAGCGGCGATCGCTGTTTCTAGTAGGTGGCCTTGGAAAGCCGATGGGTTGACAACACTTCGGAGTGCGGGAAGCACTTTGACCTTCCTACGGCCGTATTTGTCCAGGCATTCGCCTTTCTGACACCTCTAGAGAAGAAGCCAGAGAAATTATGCGGCGAGGTCGTCATGTTAGTGCCACCATTTGTGCTTGTGACTGCCGATGTGACAAATGCTATCAACAACTCGGATGCAGAAGACGCGATATCTCACCAATGTCTCCACACTAATGCCGTGGTGTAGGGAAACGGTAGGCCGGCCCCAGCAGTGCAGCACCCATGTTCGGCTTGAGGAGTTATTTTTATGTCATCTTCGACCATATTGTCCAGTGCAGCCTTAAGGATGCTGCACAACATCTCTGCGGGAAGTAAGTGGACAAAACATGTTTGCTTTTTTTGCACCATTGACCGCTAGTTGGCTACCAGATCAGATGAAGCTGTAGCAGATCGTCATATTCGCTGTAATGATAGACCAACCTCAAGCCAACCTTGTCTGAAGGACCTGCGAGAGTATTAGGGGTGGTGCGGATATTTGGCAATACTATCGTGAATGCGATACACCTAAAAAGTGCATCCTCTTCAAGTCGGGCATCAACCGTGCTGTCCATGACCTGCTCAATTCATGTGCGTTAATATTGGCCATCCACTCGAACACCTACGGTTCTTACCTTACTATTGAGCTAAGAATCAACTTGGCGAGTTGACATAAGTGGGGTGTTCGTGATCTGCCATGGTGAATCAACCCTGAATTTTCCGCCACGGATCCTGAGGCACTCAAAGATACATGCATCGAGGGGCTGGAAATACGAAGCATTTATTGTCGAGTTGAGTGGGGAACAACACATGCATTGACTGCGTCGATGATGAGTCCAAGAGACGACACTACCAGAAGAGGGACGTCCCTCCACTCGTCCACGACGGTCAGGGAAGACTGATTGACGAGAATTCGTTCGGCGTCTTCAAGTCAGGGGCAGTATTTGCCCACATAACATTCTGACAGAGAGTCCACGAGACGTCAGGCATCGTTACAGAGCAAGGACAGAAGCTAACACGTATCCTCAAGGTGCGCACTAAAACATCATCGAAAAATACGATCAAATGAATCGCAGATGCACCAAGTTGGTAGATGATTCGGACGAACCTCGTATGTTCTCAGGGGACCGCTTCAAAGTGAGACTCGTGATTACGTTAGGCCTGTTGCTGTGTAATTCTATCAATACCTGCACAAATAAATGGACTCACGATCACCCATCCTCAGGCTGCACATCGTAAGCATAAAGTCTGCCTCAAACCCAGTGTTAGGAAGGACGTTATTCTTGGTCGTATAGTATGCACTACAGAGCGAGATTCTGCGAGGCGTTGGGCACTATGAAAGGCCAAGACCAGACCAAAAAAGGAGCTCGAGGGCAACAGGTAGTATGTACAGACATAGCAATTGACGTCATATCAATCTATATATGTAATTGCCGGTCAACCGTGCGGTGAGAATAAACTTCCTAAGTTGGGAATAATTTAGAAATGGTGCGACTGGTGATTCAGAAAAGTGGCACGATTACAATACGCTCTTATAACTGGCCCGAACGTTGCGTGCCGTGAGTCTTTTGCTCTCCTACCGGCAGTAGCGCAGCAATGAATATGGACGGCGAACTCCACGTTGACGACGTTTCAAACGATGAGCTCAGTAACTCGCTCACCATGCTCTTAAATAATCTGTCAGATTCAGAAACCTCCTCGTCCCAAGCATCATCTCCACCAGACTGGGCTCAGCTTTCCTCTCTCTGGCCGCAACAGCCCTTGGACTTGAATTCTGACCAGAATTCCAAATTTCCTGATCTTGGCGGCTCTTTCAACTTCTCTTTTCCTATGGACCTTGATCTCAATGCTGCATTGTCCATGGCTGTCGACCCAAGTACATTGCACTATCATAACACATCTCCACAGACTATGTTCGACATGAATTCTCTTCATATCCAGCCCCAAGATTTACTTTCCTCTTTTCCGTTCACTTTCTCATCACCTACCCTCAGCTCTGCCTCAGCTTCTTCCAGCTCGGCGGATGAGAAATCACCCCGGATGGGCATCTCATCCGGTACGTCCGTGTCCCCGGTCATGGTACCGATTAGCTCGGGTACAGGTATGCGTGGTCTATTTTTTTTCTTTTCACTAGCTGTTTTTTTATGCATGGAATATCACAGACCCCTTCTCTGGGGTGATTATGCAGGCAAAATTGCCCATACCCCGGCTCATATCCTCTATTCCGGCATTACCTTCCTCCAAACCACCAAAACACAAGCCGGAATCTCAACCTTATCTCTCATCTTCGGCGTCATCCTCCCCTTCCCCCGGTCCGACTACTCCCACTTCCGACTCTGGATCATCCGCATCTAATACTCAGATGGCAGGTGCTGCTGTCATTAGCCGCCCAAAGACTAGTCATACAACTATCGAGCGCCGTTACCGTACAAATCTTAACGCGCGCATTCAGAGCCTCAAGGCCTCTGTCCCTGCTCTTCGCGTTCTAGACCAAAATACTACCCAGGAAGGTGATGTTGTAGATGAACGCGGGTACATTGACGGTGTCAAAGTTGCGAGGAAAGGAAGTAAGGCCAATGTGCTCGGAAAGGCAGTTGAGTATATCCGGTGAAATAAATTTATCCCCTTTGTAATCGTACTTGCGCTGATCGTCGTAACAGCGTTTTGAAAAGACGTGAGATTAGGCTGAGGCGCGAGCAAGAAGGGCTGCGTACCCTCATCCTTGGAATTCCCGGTGCTCAACATCTCCTTGCTGAATGGGACCATGAGTGGGCCAAAAAATTTGGAGGCCCAGAACGTGATGAAATCGACAATGATGCTGAAGCCTACGAAGCAAGTGATGATGAAGATGGCGATGGGGAAGACGAGGGTGACGACTCTGAGCGCGCCCGCAAGAAGCCCAAGTTAACAAAGGCACCTGCGGCCAAGAAGGATAAATCGCCTGCTGTTTCTGCTGCCGCTGTTACGCCCACACCCATGGCCGAGGGTATCCCCGGAGCACTGCCGGAGAAGCGCAAGCGAGGTCGACCCCGTAAGATCCAACCTGGCGCTCCGCTTCCGATTGTCGCTGCTGCACCTATTTTGCTCAGTGACCCTGTCAGTGCGCCAGTCCAGGGCGATGTTACTATGCAGGCACAGCCTCAGCAGTATCTGCTTGCTGTCTTTGCGCTCTTCTCATTTTTCAACTCGCCCTTCAACTCAACAGGTGCTTCGCATCCTCACACGCACCAAGGTTCGGTACTATCCCAGGTTACCGATTCCACACTTGTTGCTACTACTACGATGTGGTCATGGAGCAGCGCCATACAAGCCATTCATCTGATCGCATCTGTTCTGGTTCTGTTCACAATCATCGTCCCATGGCTACCTCTTCCGGGATATGTTCAACGTGCCAAGATCATGCGTCTCATACCCTTTAATTACCTTATTAGCAGTCGAGCACCACTTACAACTCACGAGGTGGCGGAACCCTTTTCTCCCCCTCTCTCCCCTGATATCAGCGACTCAGAGTCAGACGCGGATTCGACCACCACGGAGAGAACTACCCGCCAAGAGCAAGGTCCATTGTCAGATGCACTTGCTCAGAGCGGCTCCCAGGATGAACGTGATGCTCTCATTGACGCACTAGGATTGAGCACCAGTGCACTTGGAGCAGTCCGAAGCATTTTCACCAGGCGTATGGTGAACGAGGCCTCCGACTTTGAACTTGAGCGAAAGGCATGGATTCGCTTAGCGGAGCTCGTTGCTCTTCACCCCGCCTCAGCTCCAGCCCTTCTACGTCTTCGGGTCTATTTGCGTCTTTCATCTATGTTAGGCACATCTGGCAAAACAACACAACACGCAAGTGATCTGGCGACACTGGCTCTTCTTGCCCATTCACTCCCAGCATTCTACATAAAGGATCGTTCGCAAAGGTTATGGAAACGTGCTCGTGTTGGGGTGGTCTGCCCTTACGAGCGATTAGTGCTAGAAACGCTCTCTCTCTCCGAAGCCGCTCTGACACTTACATCCTCGCCCTCCACCACATCCTTAACGCCACTTGGTGCCCTCGCCACGACTCTCCTACGCCAACGTCTCCGCTCCCACACATCCAAACTTTTCGTGCAAACTGTTGCCCATTCGCACAGCGTCTCACTTTCTCAATCCCACAACGTAGAGCAAGAAGCCAGGTGGAACGAGACCATCAATGCAGGCCGGAGTCTAGGTGGCGTCATCGGCGCTATCTCCGACTCCTTCGCTAAAGTACGGGAGAACAACATGTTGAATGTGAAAGACCTAGTCGTAGACGATGAGGACATCAAAATCGTGCTGAACACCATCGTTTTATTCCGGCGGATCTTTCCGTCTCGGATTCTGTGCTGCGATGACACTAATGACGAAGTTTCATTCATATTGTCTCCCCCACCCAGTCCGCCCGCGAGAGGACCACAGAAGGAGGTGGTGATGCAGTTGCGTCGGGCATTAGGGTCGAGTGTATTTGAGGAGCAGAGCGAGGATCGGGATGAGTTGGAAGATTCGCGGGATCGTGCGGTGGATATGCTTGTTGAGTATGAAAGACGGGGGAGAAGTCGTGTTTGATATGTTTGTACTTGAGATGTGATAAATGGAGATCTTACAATATATTAGTATTTACCCGCTTGTTGTCGGTTGTACTATGTACAGACTTTTGATTTCACTTTGAACAACGCGTTTGCATTTGGAATGTACACTCATCCAGGAGACATGGAAAATTACACCAGATAATTGTAACATGGTCAGACCGCCGCCACGCATAACCGTTACACCAAAAGGTGAAATACTGAAAGCTTAGCTTTCAGTATCAGCGACGGTATATGTACTGATTATGAGAACTCAGGTAAGCCAGCGTGCTTACACAGCCTTCCTGAACCATTCCGAACCATAGATATCATTTGTCTCGACGTCCTGACCTTCAGCCTTCAACGTTTTAGCAGTAAGTCACGGTTTTTGGCTGATGTCCACCGGCGGTGCTCTGTGCGAATGAGATTCTAGCTAGGGGACGTATAAGCCCCGCCTGCCTCTTTACTAACTAGGTAATACGGGAAGTATACTAGGTGGCCATACTATGGACGAATTGGGACCGATAACATGACGAATTCGAAGGCGAAGAACATGATAATGCATCACGTGTCTTCTAACTAGCCTGTAATAATGCAATAATATGACACTGTCGCTTGCGAGGAGAGACTACGACACACGCGAGGACTACCGACTGCTCCAACGGCCCCGGAAAATAAACAATAATACACAGAGTAAAAGAGAGAGAAAAGAAAAAGAAAAAGAAAAGGTGTGGGCTTCGTTGTCAGGGGTGGAGAATAGGGGTTTTAGGGACTTCTCCTATGGAGGCGGTCATAATCATAGGCGGCTGCATATCATCAACGTGAAGCCTGCGGACGTCCTGAGGGGAAAATCGAGTCCGACAAAGGGGACATGTGTGGCGCAAAAGATGACCGAGACACCTTCGGATGGGCAAGTTAGATGAAAACAACACACAATCGATGAATCGAGTACTTACTTCTGGCAGAATACGTGTCCACAAGGTATCGAGTGCGGTGAATTCCTGCCAGTCATGTAGCCTTCCATACAGACATCACAAGTCGAGGATTTGTTGAGCACCAACATGGTTGGAAGACGATGGAGTGATTTCCTTGAGGATGCGAAAGAAGCTTACCGCAGCTTGATCGCCTACTCTAGCAAGGAGGTATCGTGCATGAAGGAAGGAGAGAAGGAACTTGTTAAGAACCTACTCGGGTATATGGGAGAAGGAAGGGATTTAAGCCAGCAAAGGCTTAAGAGCCAGACCTAACGTGGGTAGCGGGGTGGGTGGTGCAATGTTGTGCAGGGGAGGAGCGAATGTTGAATAGACTATAAGAAAACGCGAGGCAACTCAGCGACGTGAGATAGAACTTTGCTACTTCCTTGAGGGCCCTAGACAAACCTATGTGAAATGATCACATACTAAGTTGACACGATCAATCACATGGATGGAAGTTCCGATCTGAGGGGCCGTTCCCTGTATTTGAAAAAGAACCATGCCCAGTGTTTGTAGACAGACCCAGCAGCAGAGTTAGATGGTTGGAATACTTGAAACCAACTTGGTTGGCAAGCCACAAGCGAGAAAAAGTCGCAAAAGCAATACGCCGAAGGGGAGTCGAACCCCTGCCGCTTGCTTGGAAGGCAAGCATGATAACCGCTTCACCATCGGCGTGTGTTATGGTTCACACATTGCAACATATTGCAACCTTAGTCGGCGACTTCCGCAGTTATCACGTCCCTTCTATTCCATTCACAACATCCCACCGACCACGATCCGCTCCGCGCTCACTCCTCTAGTTTGACTAAAGCAAAGCCTGATAATCTGTGGAACTTTCGTTCTGCGAATCACGATACGGTGTAATGTCGCTCCAGCACTTTGGCAAGGGTGCCCTCCGTGTCGCCAAAAATTACACCAAGGGCTATTCAGACACGCAGGCAAAAGTCCGGGATGCAACATCTAACGATCCATGGGGGCCATCAGGAACTCAGATGAACGAGATCGCTCAGCTGTCATACAATCAGTGCGTGATCGTTAGGCAGCTTGCCTGGTGGTCGTGGTTCGCCAGCAGTGCTGATGTGCTATTGTTCTCAGGAATGACTTCGTCGAGATCATGGAAATGCTTGACAAAAGGTTGAATGATAAAGGCAAGAATTGGCGACATGTATTCAAGGTTAGCTGCCTTGCTTCGGATGGAGGACCCGAATTCAAACTCCCTCCCAGTCACTCACCGTGCTGGACTACCTCCTACACGCTGGTTCTGAAAATGTTGTCCTATATTTCCGTGACAATTTATATATCATAAAAACACTCAAAGAATTCCAATATCTGGATGAAGACGCGAAAGATTGCGGTGCCAACGTCCGGCAGAAGGCTAAGGATATCTCCAACCTCCTTAGTGATCCAGCACGTCTACAGGAGGAGCGCCGGACTCGGGCAAGCATGCGCGACAGAATGATAAGAGGGCAAGGCAATGGAGAAGAAGACGAAGATGTTGGGAGGAGGAGCTTTGCACCTCCTCCTGGAACGCCCCCGCGGAAGGCCAACCGTGGTGCCGATCGCGATGAAGACGAGCTCCGTAAGGCGATCGAAGCATCGAAAAGGACTCTTGCGGAGGAACAGGGCCGGAAAGCTGAAGAGCAAGACCTTGCCACAGCAATACGATTAAGTGAGGAAGAGGAGGCGAAAAGACATAAGGCCGTTGAAGACTCAAATGCACACGCGTTATTCGATGATCAAGCGCAGATGTACGGTAGTCCATATCTATGCTTGATTTCAATTGATGATCTTGTTCATTTCAGATCCTCGCCGAACGGTTCCAACAGTAACAATCCATTTCCTTTTATCGATCCTACTCCATATGCAACAGGCTTGCAACCTCAGCCCCAGATGCAACCGCAGTACACTATTCAGCCTCAATACACGATGCAGCCACAGTTTACATCATTTAACCCATACCAACAGCAGGCGCAACAGGAAGCAATGCAGGTATGGTAATACCTGGTTTTACTGTGAATTTATTGAACGTTCCATTAATAGGCAGAGTATTTGAGGCAACAACAAGAATGGCTTCGTCAACAGCAAGAAGCACAGGCACAAGCTCAGCAACTGGCCCAACAAGCGGCGCAAGAGGAATGGTTCAGACAACAACAACTTCAAGCTCAACAGCAGCAGCAGCAGCAGCAGCAGCAGCAGCAAGCCTTATTTGCGCAACCAACTGGATTCGGGTATGTCATCGCTTTGATACGATGCTCGTTACGTTGACCTCAAATCCTTACTTCAGTTCCAATAATCCCTTCGCTCCTGCTTCTTCACCTATCCCAGTATCATCTGGGACACCAGTCAATGGCACCTCTGGGCCATCATTTAATCTTCAAGGAACCTACTCTAACTCGAATGTACCTTCTTATAACTCTTCACCTGTACCCTCACAAGTGTCGTCACCTTCCCCAGCTGTCAGCAGCACATCCACAGGCACAGGTGCGGGCCGTGGTGGTCCGAGTCGGGCAGACCAAGAACACTCGCATCTTGCCAGTCTGTTTGCCAATCGCGACGATGGTCAAGATACATTCGGGAATATCGGCGCACTGCGCTATGGGCACACGCAAGCGGGTTTACTGGCAGCACAGAAGACAGGACTTGGGACCAAAAATAATCCCTTCCAGTTGCAGCAGCAGCAACAGGGTCAGAATGCAGAGCAGCCATTTTTCTCCATCTGAGGAGAGGCAGATGGGTGGACGGTGTAATGATGATTTATCGCCGGATGATGACTTGGATTATGAATTTCCTTTGTCCCTGTGTCTCGGATTTCTGATGTTGTATTTATTACCTCTCTTCCTTACTTTTTGTGAAACTACCCGATACCAAATTTTACACTTCTGACACGCTTCTCGACCGTCTTACATAATAACCAACGTCATCACCACTTCCAGTCCGGACCCCTAGTTAGTAATATTGGTAGCCCATCAACCTTATACAAACTTTGGCTTTAGCCAGATTCTCAGCATCAGTAAAATCACACGCCGTCGCACAAATCCCCACCTAGCCCTCATACCAGACCGTGATATCATGGAATCCAATAATGGCGCTGCTGATTGTGTACTTATTATCGTACGCCGCTCTTGTGCAAGCAAGTCTATTTGATATACTCACACAAGGAATGAACAGGTCGCCATCATTTTCCCCCCTGCCGCAGCAGCTTTCATCTCAGGCTGCGGCTGTGACCTCATCGTGAACATCTTGTTGACTCTGTAAGTACTTCTTCCCCGCGCTGCAAACTCTGCATTTCACTCATGTCCTGTCACTGTCAGGCTCGGATACCTTCCCGGACTCCTCGTGCGGAATTGTGCTCATCTGTGTGATTGTTGTGACTGACTCTTTCTAAACATATATGTAGCACGCGCTCTGGCTCATATTCAGGCGTGTCAACGTTCAGGGGAGACGTACTAGGGGTAGTTATCGATGTGAGTACCTGAGAATTTTGCGCATGTCATGTGTGTAATTTGCCCTTGTAGACACTGGTGCGGAAACACCCGCTCCAGCGCCCCAGCAAAGTGCTCCACAGCCACCTGAATATGGTGCCACGAACCAGCCAAGTGCCTCACAGCCGACCACATACGCAGCAACGAGCCAGCCCGTTGATGCTCCTCCGGCAGTCAAGACTTGAAGAGCAGCATGACCCAACCCACGCACGTGGTGGTTGAACGAAGTTCGTTCCCAGATCACCTGGACTGTAATCCGAGTCATACGGGAAACGTTGAGAAATGTCTATCCAGTTTCGTGCTTATCACTTGCAATACATTTGTTTGAATCGCCGGAGTGTTGTTTACTGGATCTGGATCTCAATATAGATTTGACCGTACAATGGGGGGTGCGTCATGGGAAGTCTCAAACGATGAGAGGTGCTATAGCACCTACCTGGAATGAAAATAGACTTTATCGGCGTGCTAGATCAGAATTCAGTGAGGAAAATCGCCGGTATCCCCCCTGGTCATCCTCCAACCATGTACTGTAGCACGAACTTCCTCTGCACCTGGATCTTCCGGGAACATGGGCTGTACGGCATCTAACAGTCAGAAAAGAATTCATCAACACGTGGATCAAGCAAACCGGATATTTGCGCGTCACTATCTCCTCACAAACCCAGCCTGCACCCTGAGCTTTGCGGAAAAACCCAAGATCCCGATCTGCCAAATGCGGTCGATGATGGGAGTAGAAAACCAGCACGCATGGTGCACTTGAGGTATCATCGTTTGCGGAGCGAGAAGCTAAGCACATATCGCATGATTTCAACAATGCATCATGCTAAATGCGTTGAGACACCAATGATTGAATGGACCATAGCGATCTTACCTGCGAGTGATTGAAGATTAAGTCTGATAATATGATTAAGTGAAATCCAGTTGAGGCATCCTTTGGGAGTGCCCGCATTATGCTGTCTGCAGGGTGGCCCCACATATATCCCTGAAAAATGAGCAATCAAGCAAGCTACGAATGCTCCCAAAAAATACCTGAGTTTCAACATGATCCTTCTCGTCAGGAGACAGATTTTGTCTCGCGTTGAATTCCAAGTTATCGATGAGGACCGCCTCCGGGTAATCTGTCAGTACAACCTGTCCAATGAGTGAGGCAAGGCGGTGGAACTGGCGTGGATATGTTCAGACTTTTTTGGCGCCATTTTGTGCTGCGACGAGTCCCGGGAGACCTCCACCAGCCCCGAGTTCGAGTACGCAGCGATCGCGTGCTATCTTTGGATTTGAATCTATATATGATGCAAACGCTAATGCTGCATTCCATCTGAATTGAACGCAAGAAATTAGTAGCGTCCGGTGGGTGCAGAGTCCAAATAGCAGTACAGATGATGAGCCCATAACGGATGCGATCCTACCAGGCGGATTTTGAGATCGGGGAAGGCGTTTCGAGTGCATGTTGCAAAGGTTGGCGGAGGTGTTGGCGGACGTGGAGGTTCCTGTAGTTGAACAAATACATTAATCTTTTGGGTGGTAGCATCTATATATTAGCACAAACCGTGAAAACATCACCGAGATAAAGATCCTCTTCGCCGCCTTGCATTACTAATGATGAATGACCGAAACGAAGAAAACCGCAGTGCAAGATTGGTGCAAGAAGTTGAACGGTGATCCGATCAGTGTTTCGACGATCCAAATCGAGAATATGTTTCACAAGGATAGTATCCGGGGATTAAATATTTGTACAGACCTTTCTCTCGACGTTGTATTAACGCTACGGAGGCTACCGTGACGCATATGGTTATGGATGGCCAACATCTGGATAGCCAACATCATTCGTCTCTCAGTCATTCAACCCAAAGTTCTTCTTCTTCTGCTATCGACTTAACTGTCACTATCACGGGCCTTGCTGGCACTTCAGCTCCTCCGAGTCCGAGTCTGTCTCCAACACTTCATCCTTCAGTGGATGGTAGTCGTTCCGTCGCTCGCAGACGAGCCAGTTGGGCAAAGTTAGATGCAGGGCAAGATCCCTTACGCCCAGTAACTATGGAGGCGGGTCCTTCAAGAATATCGCCCCGGCCATTTACTGCAGACGAGGACCCGGTTTATTTTCCAGACAACGGATTCTTTGCAAATGCATTAGCTTACAATGGGAGTTCGATTTACAACGAATTACCCTACACTGCTGCACAAGCTGGTCCATCCTCCGCCTCGTTAATTTCGACTCCGGAGTCTGACCTTGACTCATCCAAGGACGGAGACGATGTCCATCTCACTGGCACCAACTCACAATGGAAATCTACAGATGGAAGTTGGGCTAGTGCTAATGATTTGACCATTGACACCGAGCGCACGGGAGGTGCTACAGGCCCCACCAGGCGGAGGACGCTGCGTTACAGTTCCTCACCTTCTCCTCTCAAACGAACGGGATCAGCATTCATGGTAATGTCGAAGCACCTTCAACGTGCATCTCTCCGCGTTGTTAATCTGTCAGGCCACGCCTTGGACAATTCAATCCGCATACCAGATGAAGACTTGGACGATGGCGAGTATTCTCTCACACAAGATAACAAGGAACCTCTCGAAGAACAATGGAACGAACAACAAGTGTTCCTTACCAGAAAGCTGACTCCCTTACGAGGGCGCACTCTCGGTTTCTTAGAGTCCTCCAGCACGTTTCGTCTTCGCCTCTATGGCTTCCTTTCTCATCCGTATGCCTCTTCTAGGTTTCTCCCGCTCGACAATATTAATCATCCTTGCAGATGGACCGAACCTCTGATACTCTGTTTAATAATTCTTACTGCCTGTGTATTGATATCTCAAGCGTCTCACTCGGTCCTTCTTCCCTCGGATCAGTCTATGCCGACCTCACTTAAGGGTTTCTTTTTTGCTTGGGAGGATTATGTTCTTTTTGGGTTGTTCACCTTATACACGTAAGTTTCATACTGGTCACCATCCCCTCAGCCTGATCCCTCCTGTTAGGTTTGAAGGAATTGCGCGAATATGCGTTTCTGGATTTCTGCTGGATCCTGAAGTTCCGATATCAGCTTTCTTTGTAAGTTCGACATCATCAATAACGTCGACTTCGAGGTTAGGTCCTTCCGCATCCGGTTCCTTGTCACGCGGCCTCTCCTTAAGGCCCTTCTATGATCGTATATCGCGGCCTTTCAAACTTTCCGAGGCTACCCCGTCGCGTTCGATGCCTGACATAGTAGTTGGTCCAAGCAATTTGCCTCACGACGCTTCGCGTCAAGAAAAACAGACTATAGTAGATGAACCTCCTTCACGCGCCCATCTCCGGAATCCCTCAGAGCCAACTTTCTTCTCCCGTGCCCTTCGGTCAGACCAGACACCTTCGGACGTGATCTCATTGCCATTCCGATTAAACATCGATAATGCACGCGACAAGGTGTATCGTAATATGCCATACTTGCGCCAAAGCTGGGGAAGAATTGACTTCATCGCCATTCTCAGCTTCTGGTTGAGCTTTGCACTCGCGATGGCAGGCGTGGAGCGTGGGTCTCATCATGTCGCTGCGTTCAGAGCGATGACTGTGCTGCGAATAGCAAGACTTCTCGCTATTACTTCTGGAACTACTGTGAGTTTGCGGACGGGATTTTACCTATGGGCATTTACACAAGTATACAGACAATCATGCATTCACTGAAGATCGCTCGGCCGCTGCTTACTAACGTGGCATACTTTGTTATCTTCGCTGCGGTGCTATTTTCGTGAGTCTATCCGGTACCTGAATGCTTATCGAACATGAATTATTCTCGAAGGATAATTGGCATCCAATCGTTCAAGGGTTCTTTTCGACGGAATTGCTATCTTCAGCCCACCCTCGGAGAAAATCAAACGCAAATATCCCAATCTTGCGGTGGTTACATTGATCCGGGTACCCTAAATGTCTCTCCTTATTTACAATTGGATGGTACATCAGGCTCCGCGGCCAAGGGTTATATCTGCCCTTTGGGGCAGGTTTGTCAGGTTCGTCGCTTGGAGCTCCTTCGACAGACGACGATCTCATGATTTCGGATCAGGAGGGAGACAATCCAAACAGTGGCATCCAGAGCTTCGACAATATTTATTATGCCGCGCTTCAAGTTGTCGTCGTGACTTCAGCCAATGGCGTATGTGTTTTTTATTCATATTTCTGTCGCGCTAATGTCCTCTCAGTGGTCCCCGATCATGTACTCGATCATCGACGCCGAATTTTTTGTCTCCTGCTTCTATTTCATTGTCTGTATCCTCGTGTTGAACATCTGGCTTATCAATCTATTCGTTGCTGTAATAACGAACTCGTTCTCTGCCATACGTGCCGATACACAGAAGAGTGCCTTTGGTGCTGCACCGTGTGTTTCTTGAATTTTCCATATACTAACGCTAATGTTGTTCCAATTACAGACTAGGACTTGTCGTCGAAGAGCAAGAAGAGGGTTGGTCAGACGGGAAACACATTTCTCAGAGCAACTCGCTCAAGGAATTCTACACCCATACGCGCTGGTGCTGGGTATTTCTGGCTCTCGCGTCGCTCGTGGTACAAGCCACCGCCAGTGCTGATATGAGCGACCTGCATCAACAGATACTTGACAAGTCAGAGCTAGCGCTTACAGTGGCCTTCGACATCGAGATCATCATGCGCATTGTAGCAGAGCTCCCAGCTTGGCGAAGATTCTTCCAGCATGGGAACAACTGGCTGGATCTTGTGTTGGCTGTGGGGTCGAGTGTTATTCAGATTCCGGCTATTCACAACTCGGAGCTATACCCCTGGTTGACGATATTTCAACTAGGGAGGTTCTACAGGGTGATTCTAGAGTTCCCGAGAATGAAACCTCTCATGGCGAGTCTAGTCACCATCTGAACATCTTACAGACAACTAAACCATCTCAGCTCACGGTCTTTGGGAATCTTTATGGTCTAGTGAATATGACGCTTTTCTTGCTGCTCGTCAACCTCCTTGCCGCGTTGGTCTGCGTGGAGCTCATTCGCGGTGATATGAATGACTCGACTGGGTTGAATTTCGGACAGTTGTGGAATTCGTTCCTCGCCATGTACCAGATCTTTTCCTCCGAGAATTGGACGAATGTCTTGTACTCGACAGCAATTGCAGAGATTTCCCTGGGGCAGGCGGTGATCGTAATTATTTTCTTATGCTCGTGGCTTATATTTGCAAATTGTAAGTCGCCCAAAGTGCTCATGCATATTGCCCTCCTTCGTTGACACGCATTGTTTTCTCCAGTCATCGTGATGCAAATGTTCATCGCCGTCATTCACGAGAACTTCAGTGTCGCAGAAGAAACGAAGAAGAGTAAACAGGCATCGGACTACTGGGTTCAACACCACCCACAAAGGGTCACGCACAATAGTTGGACTCGCAAGTTGAATCCGTATCGATGGATCAAGGCAGATCCCGTTCGCGTCAAGGTCGAAAACCTTCCTTCCAACCTGGTCTTACCAATGCAGAAAACGCTTGTGCAAGATTACGGGGTTGTTAGACAACACAACCGAAATGGGGCTGTATGTGTTTTTGAGTGTCTGAGATGACAAACTGCTGATATACTGATGCGAAAGAAACCCGTTCCGTTGAAGGGTGCGAGGCATCTACCTTCAAAATCGTTGACGATGCTTCAACAACTGTTTTCTGGGACTACGGATTCTAATGATGTTCCGTTGGCGGACTTACGACAGAGCCGTCGTGAGTCGACAGCAGTGCAAAACGAAGAGACGGACCGTTATCTGTGAGCTTTCTAGTACATATAAGTGGCAGCTTTGCTGACACGAACTTGTAGCGATATTCTCGCCAAGGCGGGCAACGGCACCGACACGACTGAGAACGACCATGATGAGCATTCCGAGCGGAAGGCGCAGAAGGCGGACTTTATCATTGACCACCCGACATATGATAAGACCTTTTGGCTTTTCTCGCAGGAAGATCGTTTCCGGAATATGTGCCAGAAGGTTGTCAAGCCTGCTGGTGGAGAGCGCCTATTCGGAGCCCCACCCTCCGACGTTGCCCATACGTTATTTCAGCTCATGATCTTGTTGATCGTGCTAGGTGGTATCATCACGGAGGGCGTAGCCACCCCTTTGTACCGGCGCAATTACTACATGGAGCACGGTATGGTACGTGGTACTTGGTTCAACATCGCCGAGATAGCGCTCGGTGTTCCTTTGCTAGTCGAATTCATTATCAAGATCATCGCCGATGGTTTCTTGTTTACTCCAAACGCCTACGTCAAGAGCATATGGAATATCCTGGACTTCATTATACTCATTGGTATCCTAGTGAACTTGTCATTCACGCTCATTTTTGTCAGTGGATTGACTCGTTTCATCCACGCACTCAAAGGTCTTCGAGCTCTCCGCCTTGTCACCTTGATCGAGAAGATGCGGAACACATTCGAATCACTCATTATATCCGGGGTGACTCGTATCTTGGATGCCGCCATTTTGGCGATCCTGTATCTGATTCCCTTTAGCGTTTGGGGCGTCAATATATTTGCAGGATTAATGAATGAGTGCAACGATACCAGTGTCCAAGGCCTCGACGATTGCACCAACGAGTTTGTCAACACAATATACGGCACTTCTTTCGGATATTTGGCCCCTCGTGCCTGGGACAATCCTTCACCTTCCACGACGTTCTCCTTCGACAACTTTCGATCTTCGATGCTCATTCTTTTTGAGATTGTATCATTGGAGGGGTGGATTGATGTGATGTTGGCCTCGATGAGTATTACTGGGAAGAACCGACAACCACAGGTCGACGCTTCGCAGATCAACGCTATTTTCTTCGTCATCTACAACTTGCTCGGAGGCGTTGTAATTCTGACTCTTTTTATCAGGTGAGACTTGTCTTTTGTAGATCGCCGGCCTGTTGGCTTACGGCTTGCTTAGTATTATCATCGGAAACTTCTCATCCAAGACGGGTTCTGCATTCCTGACCCAACCTCAACGAGAATGGATTGACCTACAGAAACTGATCAAACGCCAGAAACCGTCGAAGCGTCCTCAGACTCGGCCTACTCAACTATTACGAGGATGGTGCTACGACCGTGCGATCCACAAGCACGGTTGGTGGACACGAATGATGACGTGCTTCTTTGTCGTACAAATCATCGTTCTCATGTTTGTGCCTCTTTATTTCCTGGTTAGCTATGAACTCATTTGTTTCAGGACGCAAACATTTACAGTCCAAGTAGCTGTTGCAAGATTTCAAGGTTAGTAATCGGTTTGTTTGTACTTCCTTTCTCAACGTGACTCCTTTCAGATGACTTCTCGCTGATCATCACAACGATGTATGTCGTCGATATCGCAGTTAGGTTCTACGGTGTTGGGTGGAGGAGTTTCCGAGCCAACGGGTGGAATTTGTTTGATGTTGTGGTGGCCGGCGGCAGTTTCATCACGACGTTGGTCGTTCGGTTTGGGTACATGGGTTTTGCCGTCGAGCAGCTGCAGAAACTGTTCCTCGTCAGTATTGCGTTCAAGCTCGTGCAGAGGACCAACAGCCTTAATCAGCTCTTCAAGACTGTCATGTAAGTAGGGCGATCATGTTTTGATTAACTATTGACTTTTTTTGCAGGGCGAGCTTGCCCGTCATCTTGAACCTCCTGGGCCTATGGTTCATACTTTTTATCTTCTTCGCCATCATGTACATGGAGGTCTTCGGCTTGACCAAATGGTATTCTGCAGAAACTCACACTCAGAATTACCAAACCATGGGTTCGGCGCTCGTGATGCTCGCATTCATGAGTACGGGGTAGGTATTTCCAACGTTTTTCTGGTGATATTTTCTAAAATATCTACTCATAGCGAAGGCTGGAACCAATACATGCATGACTTGTACGTGAACAAAGGTCCTTTTTGTTTTGAAGTTGACGCTGGTTTAGTGCTCTGGCATATCCGCGGTGCACTATCAACACTAGTGGGCTAGTGGAAACGGATTGTGGAAGTGCCGCTTGGGCGTTCTCCCTCTTCATCGCCTGGAACCTCCTGAGCATGGTATGTGAACCTCAGTAATTTCGCGCGTGCTTCCTGATGCTCTCTCGAACAGTATATATTCGTGAACATGTTCACTGGAGTCGTCGTGCAGAATTTCTCCTACGTTTTCCAGTCGACTGGCGGAGCAAAGGCCATCACTCGTGAAGAAATTCGTTCGTTCAAGAAAACGTGGGCGGAGTATTCCAACCCAAAGACTGGGCTGCTCGAACAAAGGCGATTGGTTCCGTTCCTAGGTGTAAGTTCCGTGCGACGTAATGTTCACGAGATTCATCAAGTTCTTTTTCAGAAATTAAATGGGATTTTCGAGGTTCGCATATACCCGACTGAGTACTCTGTTCCATCCATTGTCTCGACATGCAAAGACATCCGGAAGATTGCGACGAAAGAAGGGACGAAAGTGGAGGCGACATTGAATCCACGCAAAGTAAACAAGGTGCTGAGGAAGGTCGACTTCGACATTATAAAACAGCGAAGAGCAGTATATTGCCGGCTATTTCACGAAGCCAGCATCATTGACAGCCATTGCAAAGGCATCTCGTTCACCGACATGCTTTTTCTTTTGGCCCACCATAAGCTGATTGTGGACCGCGACGCACTAGAGTGAGTTACTAATTTGCGTTGATGCTGTTACAGTTCTGACCACAAGGCAGGCTGAAGGATCTAATCGTGAGACAGGGGACGAACAAACTTGTGTCAGATTTGGTGAACCTCGACCGTGTTCGTTCTTTGCTGAAAATGATATCACTGCGACGAAGATATTTGGCCAAGCGAGAAATGACACTCAGTGCACAAAGAGGTAAGCTGCTTTTCGGCGTCATCAACATCGTAGATGATGATCCAATGTGTATCGTAGACATCCCCGCTATTCAAGTCGACCCTGCACCATCCACTCCACCCCCATTAACTCGCGATATCACTTCACCTCGTAGTGACCGCGGCCGTTTAGACAACAGCCCTTCTAGTCCAACTCCCTCTCCCCGAACACTTGGCCCTTCCCCAGAGCTTAATGCCTGGGATCATTCCTTCCGAAGTAGTCTTCAGCGCTCCCGCAGAACAAGCGATGTCAGCATGCTTTCTGCCGACATGGGTCATGGTTACTGGTTCGTGCTGATAGTCGCTCCCACTAAATAGTTCATTGATAGGTTTGACGCAGGAGAGATAGTTCATTAGACATCGGTGATCAAGAAGGCATCGTGTCATCCATGCAGCGTTCTATATGGGATGGTACGTTATTGGTCTTTGAGATCTGAGCCTTGCCGTTTACCTGACTTCCCGCCCTCAGAGATCATGCAGCAAGCTGCAGAAGAGGATGTTTAGCTCGATCTTATTGTTTCAACTAATCATGGACATTTTACGGACACTAACTATATTGCATGTGTACCTCTAACAATCAACACACTCGCTTATATGGTATTGGATAGAAATAGATGCATATAATGGTAACAACATAGGTGTGACGAACAAGCATACATTATCTATGCCTGGCCCTGGGCTCTCCGAGATTTCCACACCTTCTTCTCCTGAACAGTCTCAAATCCATCATCACTCCTCTTGTGTTCAGGCGGTGGGGCATTACGAGATGTGAGAGGAGCAGGAGATGCGGTTCGAGCAGGTGCGGCAGCTGGAGGTTTTGCTTGGCGATCTCTCCAGCCTCCGGCGGTAGCACCAAATGCACCAGGCCGGTATGCACCTGTGGTACCAGCAGGAGCAGGAGCAGGAGCAGCAGGCAGAGGGCTTTCAACCCGTGGTGGTGTGGATATAGCGGCGGTAGCACGGGTGGGCGCAGAGGGCGCTCCTCCGCGTCGCCAAGCTCCTTGGGGCTGCGCTGGTTGTGCTGGTTGCGCTGCTAGTTGATTGCGCTGTTCCGCACGGCGTTGAGCGGCATGTGCTTCAGCCTCAGCCTCGCGTTCGGCACGTTTCCTTGCCTCCTCTTGAGTTTTGGCACGCTCTTCTTCCCGTTTCCTACGTGCTTCGGCGGCTTTCTCTTTCTCTTCCCGTTCCTTGGCCTCGGCCTCTTCCTCAGCTGCTCGGCGCTCTGAAGAAACATGAGAAAACGACTATATGCGATCAAGTACACTCACCAGCTTCTAATCGAGCTTCTTCTTCCTCCTGCTCTCTGCAAATTCTCTCAGCCTCAAGACGCTCTTGTTCTTCGTCGTCTTTCATCTTCTGATGTGCAGCCCGCATCTTCTCCTTCTCCTCCTCGATTCTCTTGTGCGACTCCGCGAGTTTGGCTGTGTGCTCTTCACTTCGCTGTGCGATGATGAACTCTTTTCTCTGTTGATAATCCTGCATCATGCGGCTCAAGCGTTTCTTGGATATCATGTCCTCCTGGAACGCCTGGCGAGCGCCCTCAATGCGCGAGCGCTGAAGCGTTTCGAAGATTGTGCGGTCGGTGGCTTGCTGTTCCGCGTAGTCCTCTGCAAGCAGCGGCCGCTCTTCTTTGCGGTACGCACGCTCGATGTGATCGATTCGCTTGGCAGCGGTGCGCAAACGCTGATTGAGCTCTTTCTTCTCGCGTTCGAGTTGCTCGACTTGCATGCGCATGAGTGAATCTGTCGATAGATCTTCCATTTCCTGTGGACAGTCATATCAGTAATCCTGTAGTAGGCAATTTGAAAAAGGGATACGCACGTCCACCGACACTTTCAAGTTGCCCTTCTTGATCAGTGTTTGTGCGAGCTTCTTGGCTTCCTCCGCACGAATAGAATCTACCTCCTTCTGTGCGCGTTCCCGTTCTTTCTTGGCTACCTCGAGCTTGGCGCGTCGCACCTCCTCGTCCTTCTCGCGTCGCGTCGTTTCCGCACGACGGCTGGCCTCCTCCTTCTCCTTACGAGCGGAGAGCTCAGAGAGGAGCTCGCGGCGGCGGGCAACGAGCGCGCGACGAAGCGATAGCGCATGCCGCTCAGCGTTCGCAGCCGCGACAAGCTCCACAAATTTGGCATGCTGTGCAGCTTCTTCTTCCTCAGGAGAGAGTTGGGGCGGGGGGTACAGAACCGCAAGGGAATTATGCAATGTCACTGCGAGCGTGCTCAACCGTGTGCGCACGAGCTCTGCAGCGCTGGGCTGGATGCTTGCTTCTGAGTTGGTACTCGTGGACGGGATGGGGTCCTCGGAGCTGACTACGAAACCCTCGTCGATGAAGGTGATTGTGCCAGTGGCGTGGTCGACATACACACTGCGTTCACCGCGACGTGCACAACCCATGAGGAACGCCTCTACCTGCTCTGGGCCGAGGCCCTCGAGGGGAGAGACTAGTTCGAGGAGCGAGGTGATAGTAAGCGTGGAATAAACTTGAGAAAGTTGTGCGAGCAGGCGGGAGAGCAGTGCACGTTCCAGGAGGGAACGGTAGCCAAAGTATGGTGTGTCCGGTGCACACAGTTCTGCGAGAAGCGGGGCGGTGGAGGAGCAAAGCGTCAAGGGGTCGAATGAAGCTTCAAGAAGCGTGTACAGAGACTTGATGGGTGCTGGGGAAAGACGGAGGACGTCACGGGAAAGCTATGAATATATAAACATACATTCAGCTCAAAGATGGCGAATATACATACGGCATCTTTGATCAGCCCGGCGCGAGTAGGTGCTCTGGTAAGACCAAGAAGAGCAGTAAGGCGCGATGTCTTGCTTTTGCCATCCTCATCTTCATGTTGTAGGCCAACAGGGACGGCCAAGGCACTGACGAGTACTTGGCCGGCGAGTTTCGTCATCTCCTCTTCGGTCTTTCCCCCAATGCTGGTAACAATTGCGTGGTACCGACCCCATGCAGCGGCATGATAGAGAGCATTTCCGCTCATCAAGAAAATCTTAGTCAACTTTTCATAATAGTTCGCCATCATCGCCGGGCGGGGAGCCTTTTTTGCCATCGTGAGCAGATTGTGCACATCTTCGACACTGCGGAATGCCTCCTGCCAAAGCTCGAGTTCGACGGAGGTATTAAGCTGAGCAAACCGAGTGTCGAGATGATGTTGCAGTGTCTCCGCATCCGATAGGTTGATAGCATGTGTTTGATGCGCATATTTTGCGACATTGGAAAGGTGCAGTCGGAGAGTTTCACAAAGTCTCCGGAACTCGACCTTCCGTTGGTGCTTAAGGCAGAAACGGAAAGCTTGCTGCGCAACTTGCTGAAGAATTCATGTCAGAAAATATGGAATCAGGGTCGTCCCGCATCACGCCTGAGGTGATCATCATGAAGGCCATGAGGCGGTGTTACCTGCCTAAACCAGTAGCCTTCCCTTTAGGAAGCATATGAAGAATGACCGAAAATTAGAGAAGGAATGGAACTGCTTGCCAAAGGCACATGCGGGTAGTGGAGAGGAAAATGAGCTCACCTGATAGATGACTTCTAGCCGAGCATTATTCTTGAGAGTCTCGAGTGATGTACGATAGCTCTCCCACAGGAACTTGAGCCAGGGCGTGACGAGTGCACGATCCGTGCGGTCCTTGCTCTGATCACCACTAACCGCGCCGAGGAGAATGCTCTCGGGCGTTTCGCTTGCCTCAAGATCGTCGACATCGACAGGTCCGGTGACTTTGTCCGCTTTCTCCTGCGCCTCGGAGACTTTTGCATCTGAGAGCTGGATAAACCGGTTGATGACAACCTCAATGCTTCCGACGCTCGAATTTTGAGCGATATTCTTGTATTGCATCAGGCCCTCTTTGGCAGTGCGGCCTTTACGCATGTCGACGCAAAGCTCCACGAAGCGGATCACGATTGGCTCGAGTGTAGTGAGAGGTGTCGAGCGGAAGCGTTTTGAAGAGAACATCTCTACGAGCGACTGAAGAGCTGCATGAGACTGACCGACAGAGACGAGGCCCTCTGCTTGTTTGAGCACGGCCTCAGGTTTTGTGAACGGTGCCATGATTGGACTGTGGGTTGTTAGTTGTGCTTGTCGAGCAGGATGTCGTACGGACTGTTCAAGTGTGTTTCGAGTGCGACTTTTCCCGCTCGAGTGTTTTGTACAGCTCTTTGAGTTTGCTGTGAGTCGGGGTAATGGGCTTACTCGATATCGGTACCGTTAATGACAAGGAAAAAAACTAAGTTCAGTGGCCCCGTGAGACATATAATCTGTTTTGGACTTTCTGAAATCCGAGCTGCGACGTATTGAAATCTAGGCACTTTTCTTCAACTTTCTGTGGACATCGTAATTTTACAAGGCTATTGAATACATCTATTTCATCGCCAACAAGCTACTTTTCACTTCAAACCCACCGTTGAACAATGACACTGTTAGCTAGCCCAGCACCCTCGATTGTTTGAGTATCATCTTCCAAGGTACGATTAGGGAATGTCGTTCCAATCGTATACGGGCGTGACATATTCTCGGGACGAGAACTACCAATAAATATTTAGTGTCTCTGGCGAATTTTCAAGGGCTAAACGCAACGTACGCATTGATGAACGAGCGAAGATCACCAACGGTATGCGTGAGATTCATCCTGCATGGCATACGCGTACCATCTGCCAGGCGGATCTGCACGCTCGTGGTAGGTTGCGTCTGGTCGACCTCAAAGCGGGTGCTAATACCGTGCCTCTCGACACTAGCACTGGAATCAGCAGCACTGCTGCTGCCAGACGGAAATGATCCTGGCATGAGAGGTGCTGCACCAGAGGTAATAGCAGGAGTTGGTGCACCAAGCCTTTGTCCAGATCCTGAAAAGTTGCCCCTCTTGGGGGGTACATATTCCTCGCTAAGTCGGGTTGCCACATTAAGGTTGACACGTTGCCCAGGTGTAACGTCCATGAAGGATATGGGCGCAGTACTGTAAAGAATGAGGACGGATATATCATGATGACAGAATGTAACATACCCTTGCTGGATGGACCTCAAAAGCTCTTGATTACCGGGTTCGTCATATCGCATCAGTGGTCCATCCTCAAGGCTAAACCCGTCTCTCCAAAGATGCAAGTGCCGAACAACGATGTCACCTTCGTCTTCATATAGAGTACCAGATCAGCCATAGTAATAACCACTAGAACAGCAAGCGGTAATGAAACTCACCATCTTTTGGGGTCGGATCCGGCACATATGAGCTCTCCACTTCGTCACTTCCAAGTATATGCCCACCGCCACTGAAAGGTCCAGCTGCTCTGCGGGCGTCAGGTGGAGGTGCCATCCCGCCCCTTCAGAACAATGGAGTGTTTGTTAGGATTAGAAAATTGATGCAGGCGCTGAACGACGTACTCTGCAGCTTGCCTCAAAATATCTCTCACGAGGCGCCCACCAGGACGGGCACTGGCAGAGTTAGGGTTCTGCACTGAAATGCCACTACCCAGCTGGTAAGCTCAAGTACTATTATGCAGGGATCAAGCTTCACACACCTCCGCTCGCCACCTGCAAACCAGTTCTCACCCTCTTTGTCCTCATCGTCGCCGACCTGTGGTCCTCCTGGCACTCTGGCACCACCAGATGTAGGGAGATTCGAAAGACTTCCAAAGCCACCCCTATTTACATTTAATACTTAGATGGTTGTCAAAGATAACGGTGCTGGAAGCGCACCGAGATGAGGATGAGGAGTTCCTGCCGGGGTTGTTAGTGCCACTCCAGTCTCCAACCCGACCTACACGAGGTGCAGATGGCCGGCCCCATCCAGCGGGTAGAGGCTCGCTGTTCTCGTTTCCTCCAAGAGATTGTCCTCCGCCTGACATCGTTCAAGTTAATGATATCGATCTATATAATCACGATGAGTCCAATACGTGACGCGTCCTACCAGTGCGTATTACATAAGAAAATAAATGACTTCTAGACGGACGTGACGAAGGATTGTGACATCGACTATTGGTTTCGGATTGTGCTGTTGATTCGTTAAATGCTTCTTCTGCTATGTTTAATGAACAGATCACCCAGTGCTACTCTGCATCAACTTGCTGAGTCTCTTCGGGTGTAGTTCCAGACGGTTCTCTGGGCACAGATCTTGACGGATACAGGATATAGTAGTTTGACGCCGAGTATGGGATCTCACCAACATCATCTATCGCATGCCTCAGCTCGGTCTATCCATCTTCACTCCAGATGATGTGAAACCTGGATGTATGCAGGAAGATTTATTCTGATCAACGGGTGAGCTAACATCGGAACAAAATGATCGTCGGCATTCATATCAGCGCTTCAGGTTCGCTGTCCATGCCAATGCTGATCAATCCCGATGGAATCCTACAGACCCTGCCTGGTTGTGGCGCCATCAAATTTTGTGGCGAGGCCATTCTCACTTGTCAGAAGACTTCCGAAGATTGGCTGGTGGATTACCTTAACAATGTTTATTTCAACGACCACGAGACAGCAGGCGACATCCTTTTCCCCTCGGTAAATGAGAGTGAGCTGCAGCCCCGCTAAATTATATCATTTGGTCATCGAGAGCCTCATTGCATCCATGGACAGCAACATATATCCTCGTTCACGTTGCGCTGCTCTTCGCGCTGTTCACAGTACCCGGTCACCACCGATGCCAACGGTGATACGGACATGGTCCTGAAGTTCTCCCCCGCCATCCTAACCGTGATCTGCCTGTGATCAGGTGCAACTCCCGCCAACGATGGTCCTGACTGCTTCTTCAATTATCACCGCGACTTGTGCTATCTCGAGCTGATTTTTGCCCTTGCGAGCAATTCCAACTGGAATCCCTATTTATTTGTGGATCACCATATAAATCGATGCATTAGCACTGTTTCTATTTCCTTCCTATCCTTACGGACGGCACAAAGAACTGTATACAGATTACTTCAAAATTTGATTTTAAGATGCTCGTCGGAGCTGTCAGCCCGTTGAAAACTACGGTGACCGGAACCGCGAGAGTGGGAAGCACACGATGAAACCAGTGTCAACTTTGAGAGCAAAGTCAAGTTGTCTGCTCGTCGTTTTAGCCAGCTAGAAAAAGAAAGCGCATGTGGGGTCGCGGAATAATTGAATGGTAAAAGGATAACACTTCAGTACCCTACCTCATTTGTCCGGGGGCTATCTGTAAATGGTTCACGATCAGCCACGCAACTTGGAGAGCACCGCAATGTATCTCTCAATACCCGGCCCCTGTGCTTACCCACGTGTCTGGCTTCGTCTGATTGTGAACGCCTGAAGCTCTTTTTGGAGCAAAGGGCAGGAGGCTTTGCGAAGGAAAAGGGTCCACGTATTTTGGACTATCTTGAACTGGCGACAGCGAAAAAAGATGTGCATGTGTTGGAGGATCATGATGTCGTATCGCAGCATATTGATATGAGCTGTATTGCAAAGAGTTCGCTGGATATCATGGAAAAAGAGGGAGTAAATGTTGCCGACCGCCCACGTTCTGTTGCAGTGCACGAGACGTTGTCTGAGGGGTTCAGAGTGATCCTTGAGGGCGATACTGAGAGATGGCACCGGATGCGCAGGTACGCATCCTATCTCTACCAGGTACGACAAGTGAAACCAAATGTAAAGCAGGGTCTTGCATGCAAACTTGCAACCTAAGGCTGCAGAGACCTATGAGCCCATGCAGACCAGGTATGTGAAGAATGTGGTTCTAGATATCTTAAATGATCCAAAGAACCACCAGGGACATAACATGAGGTACGAACACCAGCTCTTATTCGCGGTGCAGGTGGTAACCTGAGGATTCTAGTTATTCAGCTTCCCTGACCCTGTCCGTCACCTACGGAAAAATTACTCCGACTTCATATACAGATCCTGCAGTCGTTGACATACAGAGGTTTTCTGCGCGTCTTGGTCGAGCTGTGAGGCCGGGAGAATATCTTGTGGATGCGTATCCAATCCTGCGGTTCGTACCAGGCTACCTGAGTCAGCTGAAGGCATGGAACAGAGAAGAAATGGTTTTCTATCAGGAGCATTTAGACGAAGTGCGAAGACAGATGGTTCGTTATTTTCTTGTGATGATAGATATGCTCGCTCACCGCTGTGAAGCGTGAGGGGACTGCAAGGCCATCCTTTGCGAGGTTCATGTTAGAGAACCAGAAACAGTACCAGATCGAGGATAGGGAACTGGCATTCCTCGCAGGAGTGATATTTGGGGCCGGCACTGATGCGGTAAGTTCTTACATTGCATTGCATCTTCACTCGACAACTGTTGTAGACTACGTCCGCAATGACAATTATGATGATGGCTGCTGCCACTCATACAGATGCGCAGGCTCGCGTACAAGAGGAACTCGATGATGTCGTGGGGCATATGCGGCATAGGTTATCCCTTTTCTTTATTTGTCTACTGACTGAGATAGCTCCTTATTAGTGCCAACGTTTGCCGATCAGGAAATGCTGCTGCAGGTTACCGCGTTCATACTCAAGAGTCTCAGGTGGAGACCTGTCAGTTTTGGAGGTATGTTTTATTTGAGTTGTGATGACGCGATGTTGAACGACCACTTGCACTACAGGCTTCCCGCATCGCACGAGTAAGGACATCATTTGGAAGAACTACCTCATTCCTGCAGGTGCGACTGTTATTGGCAACCATTGGTCAGTACGCAATCATTTTCGTCCTCTCACCTTTGGGTCTGATGCTTGTGCCTCAGGGCTATCGCAAACGATCCTGAAGTCTTCCCTGATCCATACAGGTTTAATCCTCAGTGTTGGATTGACGATACAGGTCGTGTGCGCGATGATCTCCGGTTTTTCACTTTTGGCTTTGGCTGTCGGTGAGTACTGTAGTATTTCACTCAATTCGACACCATATGTGACACGTGACACAATCTACCAACACTTCGACATTTGAGTGTGTGACAAGTGACAGCACTGAATTTTCGACATATCAAGATTTCGACAGGCACTATGCGACCCAGAACCGGTTAATTTCACTGGTACCATCACCCGTTAGTCTAGTCAGATCCACCGTATTATATGTTGAACATCACTGGGGATTGGTAATAACAACCCACCCTACAGGTGATTTATTACAGTTAAAAAAACTACATTTTTTGCCGGATTCACCATGTCACCAACAAGTGCATCCCACGGCACATATCACTCATTTAGTTGGTAATTTACATTGTTTCCTTTCACCAACACGCTTGTTGAATCTCACTTGCTTAGCCAGTCTGATTCACTACTTCCATGAGTGATAAAAACCAATGTCATTGGACTCTAAAGTGGTTTGCCAAACTAGTGAAAATGTTACTTTTCACCACCGCTATAGCTAACTGCGCATGCGTATGGCGCCGGCAGTCATGCACTTCCGCACAAAATCCACTCAGCAAGCGCCAAAGTCATCATCATCATCATCTGCTATCCCACGCTCACCAGATCCACTTCCGTCTCCTACCTCATCTCCGTCCGAGTTGTCTGAGTCGTCAAATCGACTCCGTTTATTGTTTTCAGTGCCTGCAATTGTGTGTGCCTTTCGCTTCTTGTTGGCCTTTCGTTTGTTCTGCAGAAATTGTTTGACCAACTCCGCTGTCGCCCAATCATTCTGAAATTTTTCAAGGTGAGGATGGGCCTGTCGTGCCTATGACTTATGGTTATTATCATTACAGCGGGACAGTATACTGACACACCAATTTAAATAGTTTTGCCAGGTTCGATGTTGGTTGTGCATTGTACAACACCCCAAAGTCCAGATCAACGCGCGAGCACAGTTCGTGAACTGAGGTCTGTGTAGTCATCAGTAAGCTGTCAAGTCTTTTTGTTTTCCAAACAACTGACCTGAATGGCCAGATATTCTGCTTTGTTATTCTCAAGCTTCATTGCCTTGAGCAGACGACCTCTGCTGCCCAAGTCTCTCATTTCGGCAGTTGTGGGCTTCTGCATGAGCTCGTGCATTGGATCCACATGGGAATTTCTGATCTTCTCTTCTGCAACTTTTTTGGCAGCTTCTGCTTCCGTGGCCATGAGCTTTGCTGCCCGTTCAGCCTCCTCAAGTTGCAAGATCTTTGCTGCTCAAAATATATGTTCATTATTCAAAATACCAATGGCACCGGTAAGAAAAATTTTCCACACCTCTGAGACGAGAATTCTCATCCTCAAATTTTGTGTTCTTCTCTTGCAGGACTTGCTTGGTCTGATTTTTATTCAAGGTTTTCGAAGCTGGAGTCATTGTTTTGGCTGCCACAGGTGGTCGAACTGTTCCGACCTGGCCAGAAGCTGTTGTTGGGTTGCTTGGTGCAGCTCTACTTTTTTTGGCTGCAACAGTCGGCCCCGTAAGTGGTTGATTCTCATTACTGCCAGGCATGGTTATCGTATCAATCTGATGAGAGGACTGAATGTGGGTATGGTGGCTGGTGCTGCGCTAGCTAGGCAATCACAAGCTTGAAAATTTTGACAAGTCCTTTGTTTATTCTTGTATGCAGCCAGAGACATGAATCAAAGTCATTTTGTCCTTAAAGCTGATCTGTCAGAACATGTCCCTCCATGGTTAAATCTCACCACCCTGCAGTGCGTAAACTATGCCGTTGTTGTAACAAATGGGTCAGCGAAAGAACATGGCGGAATCACCGCCTACTCATTGCCCCTCCACATTTGAAAGCAACATCACCCTATCTCATCTCCACTGCTCTCAAGATCGTTTTTCTCTTCATCAGACAATGGTTCCCGCTCAGCTGACTCTACAAGATGGCTGCAAGATTGGCGAGCCATTGAGAGTGCATCATGTACAAGTGCGTCAGGGGCTGGATTTAACATATCATGAGGTGGGATCGGTGAGGTGGCACGAAGAGGTGATGGACTTGGTGGAGGACTGAATGTTATATCGTAATTATCCTGCACATCTGCAAATGCATTGGTTATAGTTTAGTTTCATCGCGAGAGAGACATACCCAATGTCATTGCATCTTCGAGTTGAGCTCCCAAGGCAGAAATTTTCTCTGGGGGGTGCACTATATGCCTCACTTTCTGGAGTTTGCCTGCAGCTAGAAGTTTCGACTGATAGGGTGATGTTGCTTTCAAATGTGGAGGGGCAATGAGTAGGCGGTGATTCCGCCATGTTCTTTCGCTGACCCATTTGTTACAACAACGGCATAGTTTACGCACTGCAGGGTGGTGAGATTTAACCATGGAGGGACATGTTCTGACAGATCAGCTTTAAGGACAAAATGACTTTGATTCATGTCTCTGGCTGCATACAAGAATAAACAAAGGACTTGTCAAAATTTTCAAGCTTGTGATTGCCTAGCTAGCGCAGCACCAGCCACCATACCCACATTCAGTCCTCTCATCAGATTGATACGATAACCATGCCTGGCAGTAATGAGAATCAACCACTTACGGGGCCGACTGTTGCAGCCAAAAAAAGTAGAGCTGCACCAAGCAACCCAACAACAGCTTCTGGCCAGGTCGGAACAGTTCGACCACCTGTGGCAGCCAAAACAATGACTCCAGCTTCGAAAACCTTGAATAAAAATCAGACCAAGCAAGTCCTGCAAGAGAAGAACACAAAATTTGAGGATGAGAATTCTCGTCTCAGAGGTGTGGAAAATTTTTCTTACCGGTGCCATTGGTATTTTGAATAATGAACATATATTTTGAGCAGCAAAGATCTTGCAACTTGAGGAGGCTGAACGGGCAGCAAAGCTCATGGCCACGGAAGCAGAAGCTGCCAAAAAAGTTGCAGAAGAGAAGATCAGAAATTCCCATGTGGATCCAATGCACGAGCTCATGCAGAAGCCCACAACTGCCGAAATGAGAGACTTGGGCAGCAGAGGTCGTCTGCTCAAGGCAATGAAGCTTGAGAATAACAAAGCAGAATATCTGGCCATTCAGGTCAGTTGTTTGGAAAACAAAAAGACTTGACAGCTTACTGATGACTACACAGACCTCAGTTCACGAACTGTGCTCGCGCGTTGATCTGGACTTTGGGGTGTTGTACAATGCACAACCAACATCGAACCTGGCAAAACTATTTAAATTGGTGTGTCAGTATACTGTCCCGCTGTAATGATAATAACCATAAGTCATAGGCACGACAGGCCCATCCTCACCTTGAAAAATTTCAGAATGATTGGGCGACAGCGGAGTTGGTCAAACAATTTCTGCAGAACAAACGAAAGGCCAACAAGAAGCGAAAGGCACACACAATTGCAGGCACTGAAAACAATAAACGGAGTCGATTTGACGACTCAGACAACTCGGACGGAGATGAGGTAGGAGACGGAAGTGGATCTGGTGAGCGTGGGATAGCAGATGATGATGATGATGACTTTGGCGCTTGCTGAGTGGATTTTGTGCGGAAGTGCATGACTGCCGGCGCCATACGCATGCGCAGTTAGCTATAGCGGTGGTGAAAAGTAACATTTTCACTAGTTTGGCAAACCACTTTAGAGTCCAATGACATTGGTTTTTATCACTCATGGAAGTAGTGAATCAGACTGGCTAAGCAAGTGAGATTCAACAAGCGTGTTGGTGAAAGGAAACAATGTAAATTACCAACTAAATGAGTGATATGTGCCGTGGGATGCACTTGTTGGTGACATGGTGAATCCGGCAAAAAATGTAGTTTTTTTAACTGTAATAAATCACCTGTAGGGTGGGTTGTTATTACCAATCCCCAGTGATGTTCAACATATAATACGGTGGATCTGACTAGACTAACGGGTGATGGTACCAGTGAAATTAACTGGTTCTGGGTCACATAGCATTGGCTTGTCAGACCGAAGCCATTCGACAAACGCAGGTGTGACCCATGACACGCTACAAATTTCGACCAGACAAGTCGGCATGTGACACGTGACTGTCAAATCGAGTGAAATACTACAGGTAACAGTAGTATCGTTCATCTCTCCGATTCTCTCGACCATATCTTATGCCTTACTTGAAAATGTCAGAGTGTGTCCCGGTTAACATCTTGTGAATCGGTCGATCTTCATCAATATGGCTCTCATTATGTGGGCTTTCCGCCTTTCGGAGAATCCTGCAGTGAAGATTGACATGCTTGCATTCTCAGACACTTCGAACATACAAGCTGCTCCGTTTGAGTTATGCTTTGAGAAGAGGGTCGATGAGGATGTGATCAGGGAACTATGCGCACCGGGCGATTATGTTTATTGAATTTTTGTGCAAAGGAGTTCCTCTTGCATTTTTTCGTTGTCTATCCGATAGATTTTTTTTAAATCCTTGATCATTGTCCTTTGGGGCCGGGCCCTATGATGGACATTACCTACAGCTATGTACTTTTGTTCGTTGTTCACTATGTAATCTATGTGTCAGTCTTTTGCAATGGTTCTGGCGCAAGTTGACACACCAGGTTTCATTGTGTGCTTCCCACTCTCATGGTTCCGGTCGGCGGTCACCGTAGTTTTTTGCGTAACGCGGCTGACCAATCTAAGAAATAAAGTACAACGGTTTCGCTAGCTCGTGTGGCTTTCGCTAAAGGCCACATGGGAGCGCTTAGCTCGCTTAAACCTCTTTTTGGAAACTCGCGTGGTTTTCTCGCGTGAATGTGTGAAAATGAATTCTAAATTGAGATTTCAAAATGCAAAAAATCTACGGAGTCCAAAATGCGATATAGTGGACAGTAATCCTCACGCTTACTGCGCCGCGTGTACAACAGGGTCAAACAACTCACTTTTCCTACCATGGGGGAAAGGCTTGGCTGCTGCTTTTGAATAGAATTCTCGAGTTAAATTGCCCTCCCCTGCAGCCAAGTGTAATAAAGTGCAAAAAACACTTTTTGTGGGTGTCATTTCTTATCAACAATGATAAAAAAATTTGACTTATTAATGAGTTTAGGCAACTCAAAATTTTGCACTTGCTAAACAACTGTTTGAATAACATAACAAAGATGGCTCAAAATTTTCCTATTCAGTGAGTCACCAACTATAATATTGCTATACATGATGCTAATAATATTTGCACATATGCCATTTAGAAACGAACAGATAACCCCAGAGCATGATCGTCAGTCACAATGAGAACGCGATAGACTCAATCGGCTTCAAATGACTTCTCCGGCCAGGCGTAATCGTCGCCATGCTGCTCATGACAATCAGAATGTACCTCTGCCTGCTATACAACAACTGAATTTCATGCCAGCCGATGAGCCACAAGCAGGCCCTGTTCTACGACCTTTTGCATGGCAACCCCCCCCACACTTCCCATATCAACCACTACCAGTTGAGCGGTATCCTGGCTTGCCACGAAATGCCATTGCACATGTGGAGCGTGCTCATCATCTTCCTCCTGTTGATTATAATGCCCGCTTGAATGAGCAAATGAATGCAGCTGGAAACAACAGACGCCGTCAGCGGAATCTCCGTCGTCAACAGGATAGAGATGAGATAAGACAGCAGGCACAGGCAGAGCTCATGGCAGCTGGATTGCAGCCTCCACAAGTGCCTCACATTCCTAATGAACATGCTCCTCCTGCTTTTGCTCCTGCCCCCATTGCTCCTGCTCCTGTATATGGCCCTATTCATTATGAGGGTGCAGTTGGTCCTCACAACTTTGGAAATCCCCCCCATTACTTTCCACCCAATCCTATACCGCCTGCACCTGCTGAACATGATTATCATCAATTTAATGTCCAGTTTCAGCATCATTTTGAAGAGGAGCGGATGGAAAATGAGCAGATTAGAAATGAATTGCTTCAGAGACAAGCACAGGAGGCATTTCATCAACAGCAGATCCAGCAGCAATTCCAGCGGCAGGAAGCTGAACGCATTCGTAGACAAGCTCAAGAAGAGTTGGAGGCCTTTCACTTGCAGCAGCAGGAAGCTGAGAGGCACAATAGACAGGCTCAGGATATTCAGCGAGCAGGTCAACAGGCAGAAGAGCACCAACACCGCCAGGAGCAGAGGGATCATGAGCAACAGGAGCGTCTTGAAGAGGCATTGCGCGAATATGATAATCCTGCTTCTCAGCAGCAGCATGAAGACGATGAGGAAAGAAGAAGAACTCAAGAGCGAGAACGTCGCCAGCAGCGCGATGCAGAGGATGATGAACATATTAACCAGGCACCCATCCAAAATATCCCTATCCCAGATGGAGCTCGACCATACACAGATCGTCACACTCTTGGTCCTCTTAATGTGGAGTGCCCCAACTGCCATGCCCTGCATTTTGCATGTGAGAGACTCACCAAATCATCCGCACGAAACCCACGCTTTGGTACTTGCTGCTTGGAGGGAAAAGTCGACCTTGCTCCCTTTCCAGCATGGCCACACGAGCTGCAACAGGCATATGGAGACAGAACATTTGTGTCCAAGATTCGCCAGTACAACAGTGCTCTTGCATTCACATCTGTAGGTGTCACCATCGAGGATAGGGCCCTTCAAGGCTCTGGCCCAAATGCTTTTCGTATCCACGGTTCTCTTCACCACCTTATGGGCAGCCTGATTGCCCCTGAAGGTACTCGGCCTTCATACGCTCAAATCTACATTTATGATCCCGAAGATGCCACCGACATCCGCGCCAACCGACCAGGAAATGAAAACCTCGATCGTCATATTCTTAGAGAGCTCCATGACATGCTTTATTGAACTCATCCCTATGTTGCTCTTTATAAGCAGGCTTATCAAGTTATGCGCGAGAAGCCTCCAGAGCAGCACACAGAAGTTTGTGCACGCATTCACTTTCAGCAGGGCACAGATGGTCGAAGATATAATCTTCCCACTGCTGATGAAATTGCTGTGATCATACCTGGAGATGGATCTGAGGAGGTATCCGACAAACGAGATATTGTCTTGCGACTTCAAGGTGGTCAGCTGCGACACATTAGTCAGCTCAGCCATGCATACTCAACCCTTCACTATGTACTTCTCTTTCCTTCTGGCGAGGAAGGCTGGCACCTTGGAATACCTCTCAACATCCCTCAAGGCGGATGTACACATTCAAAAGAAGTGACCCAGCTGTTATACTACGCCTTCCGTCTTCACCCCCGCCCCAATCATATCGATAACAACAACATCTTCCGTGGTGGAAGACTGTTCCAGCAGTATATCGTTGATGCTTGGGCTTCCATTGAACAGAGCAATCTGAATTGGATCACCAAGAATCAAAAAAAGCTTAGGGCGGACTGCTACCGAGGCCTGGCAGATAACATCCTCAATGATGGCACAGATGATCTGGCTCAGACAGGTCGCTCAATTATTCTCCCATCATCACATACTGGAAGCCCCCGCTATATGCACCAGTTGCTTCAGGATTCATTGGCCATTTGCCGTGCCTGCAAGAAGCCTGACCTCTTCCTAACAATGACTGCAAATGGAAGTTGGCCTGAGATCACTGAAAACCTCCTTCCAGGTAAATTTTATTAATTTATTTATGATGTTGTTGCTAATATTGCTTATGTAGGTCAGAGCGCTGTGGATCGTCCAGATTTGGTGGCTCGTGTCTTCTACCAAAAGCAACAAGCACTCTTGAAGAAGGTTCGCAAGGGCTACTACGGAAAAGTTGCAGGATTGGTGTACACCATCGAATATCAGAAGTGCGGTCTCCCTCACATGCATCTGCTTATCTTCCTCGACCCAAATCATAAGATAAGGACTGTGGAGCAAGTGAACTCATTCATCTCTGCTCAGATACCGGATAGAGATGTGCACCCGCAACTCTACGAAGCTGTATCAAAATACATGCTCCATGGCCCATGCAGTCCAGAGCATTGCTTAGAGAATGGACAGTGCAAAAAGCACTTTCCAAAGTCTTTCTGTGGTGAGACATCCTTGAAGGATGATGGCTACCCAGATTATGCAAGACCAGATAATGCTCGCACGATCCAAAAGAATAACGATGTCTTCACCAATAAAGATGTTGTTCCTCACCCTCCGCAACTGCTGGTCAAATTCAACTGCCACATTAATTTGGAAGTCTGCGCTTTGATCAATTCTGTCAAGTATATTCATAAGTATATCTACAAAGGACATGACCATGCGACTTTGGAGGTGGAAGGACCGGTGGATGAGGTCAAATCATACCTTGACGCCAGGTATATTAGCTCGATTGAGGCTGCATGGCGCATCATGGAACATGAGATGCACCTTGAATGGCCTGCTGTCTACCGCTTGCCAGTCCACCTCCCAGGTGAACACATGGTTGTCTACGATCCTGAGGATAATCCCAAAGATGTTGTCGAGCATGCAGCAGCAAAGGAGACTCACCTCACTGGATGGTTCAAAGCCAATGCCGATGAAAACATGGTGGCAGCTGGAGCCCACGATCTCCTCTACCAGGATTTCCCCTCAAAGTTTGTATGGCAAAAAGTTGCTTGGAAGATACGTCAGCGTGGAGTTGCAATTGGAAGGATGTATTCTGCTGCCCCTGGCTCTGGAGAGAGATTTTATCTGAGATTGCTTTTGACCGTAGTGAAAGGTATGATTTCTGTGATGATTTTTATGAATCAAACTTAATGTGTTTTTTCAAAGGTGCTACCTCCTATGAACATCTTCGGACTGTCGATGATGTTGTCTGTGAGACTTTCAAGGATGCATGTCAGCTCAGGGGTCTGCTAGATGATGATAATGAATGGATTCAGTGCTTGCGGGATGCCTCTCATATGTGCACTGGATACCATACACGAAATCTATTTGCCATCATCCTCCTCTTCTGCAACCCTACAAGCCCTGATGACCTTTGGAACCGCTTCAAGGATAATCTCTGCGATGATCTGTGCCATCGTCTTGCTCGCATGCCATTTAACATGCCAGATGCTACTGAGGAGGAGGTCTATGACTATGGTCTCTATCTCATCGATGGAGTGCTTCGCAAAAATGGAAAGTCTTTGGATGCCATTCCCCACATGCCTGTCTCTCAAATGGCAGCAAGATGGGGGGCCATGGAGGGTAACCAGTTGATTGCTGAGCAGCTCCAGTACAACCAAGAAGAGCTTCAGCAGGTGGTGGATAGAGGAGTTCCTTCTCTCAATGAAGAGCAGAGGGCGGTCTTTGATACGGTGGTCGATGATGCAATGCATCGGGATGAGTGCAGACCAGGACATTCATACTTTGTCCACAGTGCAGGTGGATGTGGCAAGACATATCTCTGCAAGCTCATCACTTCAAAACTCCGTGCTGAAGGCAAGATCGTCCTATGTGTGGCTTCCTCCGGAATCGCTTCTCTCCTCCTGCCAGGTGGACGTACAGCTCATTCGCAATTCAAGATCCCTATCCCTATTCATGAAGACAGCTCTTGCAACATAAAGAAAGGAGACATTCTTCATGAGCTTCTCAAAGCCACCTCCCTAATCATCTGTGATGAAATTCCGATGTTACACCGCCACATCCTGGAATGCCTTGACCGGACATTACGTGATCTTCTGAATGTTGATGCTGATTTTGGAGGAATAACCATGCTCTTTGGAGGAGACTTCAGACAGACCCTGCCGGTGGTGCCTCATGGATCCAAGGAGCAGATAGTGGGCGCTACCTTTTGCAGATCTCGCATTTGGTCAAGGCTTCATATATTCCATCTCAAGAGAAATATGCGTCTTGGTCAAGATCCCGCTTCTGATGATTTTGCAAGGTGGCTTCTTGAGATTGGAGCTGGTAGGGGCACAAATGAAGATGGAACTGTGACCCTTCCTGCCCGCATGCGGTGTCCCAACAATGACCTCCAGTCTCTCATCAATGCCCTATACTCAAGAATTCTGCTCCCTGATCGTCCTCCCTTAAATGATTCATACTTCCTGGATCGCACCATTCTTTCTGCAAAGAACACTGATGTGGATGAAATCAATGCCACTATCCTCGAATCATTCCCTGGAGAAAAAGCAGTCTTCACCAGTGCGGACTCAGTCACGGAGAGAGAATACGATTACATTCCCCCAGAGTTCCTTCATACCCTTGCCCCATCAGGCTTCCCTTTGCACAAATTGGAGGTCAAAGCAGGTGTTCCTCTAATGCTTTTGCGCAATTTGAACCCCTTGCAGGGACTCTATAATGGAACTCGCATGATACTCCTGTCTTGGACCACCTGTGTCCTTAGGTGCCGTGTTCTTAGGGATGGAGACGATGAAGATCAGCAGGTCGATGAGAACACAGTCCTAATCCCTCGCATCACTATGGAATCCAGCTCTGAAGAGAACCCAATCCCCCTCAAGCGTCGCCAGTTTCCTGTTCGTCTTGCATTCGCTATGACAATCAACAAGGCGCAAGGTCAAAGCATCAAGTGGGTTGGCCTTAATTTGTGGACTCCTGTCTTCAGCCATGGACAACTCTATGTGGCTTTATCTCGCTGCACCCACCCAGACAGGGTGTTTGCTATCTTTCCGGAGCATGAAGAAGGCTCAAATACAACCAATGTAGTATATACAGAAGTGCTTAGAGGACTCACAGATCGTATCAATCAATGATTGATGTACTTATATATATAGAACTGACTGATCTTATGTACTATGTACTTTTAGTTTTCTTGAAATGCTGCTCATAAATGTACCTCTTTTTGAAATCCACTATCAAGGCGTGATCTTATTCAAAATGCACGATTTATTAGGATGCAGCCTGAGGCCAGGAAGCCAAAGGAGGGCGTAGCCCTCCTTGGCTTCCTGTGACGAAGGAACAACACTCATTTTCCTCCACTGAAGGAGCGCGTAGCGCTCCTTCGATTTGTGCC